GTGTGGTGTTTAAAATCAGAGGATTTTTCCTGTCCTGGAGTGCAACAGAAGGGATCTTGGTTTCTTCTTCCTTGAAAAGCTTTTACCATCTTCATTAGACCCTGTTGTGATTGTTGGTTGTTGTTGGGGTTCAGCCTGGGTGTGAACCTGAACCTGAACCTGCTTCTCTGATTGTATTTCCTGATGCTACTGAAAATAATTCTAATGAAAATGTATTTCCTGATGCTAATGAAAATGTTGATTCTGAGGTCAGTGTAGAAGAAACTCCTGCAGGCTTGGAAGGCTTGGAAACTGAAAGGACACATTCTCCTGAGAATGTTTCAGGGTCAAGCGGTGTTAGCTCTCCAGAGAAGCTAACACCTGGGATCCTTAATGAGGATAGAAGAGGGCAGATTTGGAAAAGCAGGAGTGAATCGCAGAGTCTGCGAAGGTCAAGCAGATTAAAAGAAAAAGAAACAAGGGCTTCAAAGCCTGGAGGCGTGTCATGAAACAGTTTCCTTGGCTTTAAGTGCCTCTCGCCGGGTTGACTCTTTAGATCAGGCATCGTTTTAGACTGAGGCATTACCCTGGCAGATCTCCCGTTTCCCGTGGCCTTCATCCCAAGAGGCTTCTAGTGCTCCAAGTACGGTTAGTGGATTGCTAACAGGTTCCAGGATTTTACAGTGTTGCTTTTGGTTTTTGATCCAGTACATGGACATTTCTGATTACTGATTTTTACTGTGGCTTTTTGACTGTGCATTTTCCTCTGTTTTGCAACCATTTTTCATCAATAAAAAGGAATTGTTTTTCCTACAGTCAAGTGTGGTGGACGGTTATCTTAGTGTCTCGTTTCCTGCTCTGGGTTGCAACCGTTGTGTCCTTTGTTTTGATCTGTAAAACGTTGGAAAGTATGAGAGCAACTATGACAGAGTGTGGCTTCTCAGGCCTCCTATGAGCTACAAAACCCGGAAAGAAACAAAAATAAGAATACCAATGTCTACAATAGGTATGAGCCAACTTCAACCCTCCAGGTGTTTTGGACTTCAACTCCCACAATTCCTAACAGCCGGTAGGCTGTTAGGAATTGTGGGAGTTGAAGTCCAAAACACCTGGAGGGCTGAAGTTGGCCCATGCCTGCTCTAGAAGAAAATTTGTGATGAATTGTCAATCTGCGTCCAAAGTCTCCAAAACAGAGGAAAACAAGCTTGCCCATCTCATAGAGAAAACCAGAGGAATGCATTGGGAAATCTATTCCTGAGAATGCCTTGCTTATGAAAATCTTATAGAATTCATGGGGTCACCACCGGTCAACAGGCAAGTATTAAATATTACTGGTATTTACACCAGTTCTCTTTTGAGTTGTTGGCGGGTGATTGGTTGCACCTTTGACCCATCCACTACCGTTTGTGTTCGAATTAGGTGAACTGCATGATCCCAGATTCTGCTGTTGATAAGCAGCATACCAAGCAGTAATCATCACGAGATTCGTTCAAATGTCTCCACAGTTTATTTCTCATACAGTATTGCAACAGATTTCTACAAAACATTACATTAACAGACTATTGTTGTTGTTTTTTACGACACCATAAAGAAAATGATCAGGAAAAGCCCAGCAACCAAAAGGAAGGAGGAAGTCCTGATGGCTCTTTGTCATATAGGATGGAGTGACAGCACCCTCCTGTGGCTGGATTCGAGCACAACCTCCAAGGCGCCAAAAAGCTGGATGTCGACATAACATACCTCCTTTTTGTTCTGTCTGCCTCTGTCCTGTTTGCCCAAAATGGTATTGAATGTTTACTATGTATGTGTACTATGATCTGCCTTGAGTCCACTCGGGGAGATAGGGTAAAATATAAACTTCTTCTTCTTGTTGTTGTTGTTGTTGTTGTTACCTTGCTTTATCTTTCTGAAAAGAGATCAGAAGTGGCTAGCACTAAAAATAATACAATATACAGTTTAAAATCTGAACAACATACAAATAATAGCATACGAATAAAGTATCCAAAATAAACATCCAAAAATATTAAAACAGGTAAAAACGTCAAAACTAATTGAAACCCAATAACATGCCTAAACTATTACACAACATCTGCTGGATCCTTCTCAAAAACTACAAACTGTGTGGATCATAATAAATTGTGGCAAGTTCTCAGTGGGATGTATGGGGAGACCAAGTCACCTTGTCTGTCTCCTGAGGAATCTGTATAACGACCAATTAGCAGATTCCTCATGGAACAACAGACTGATTCAAGATTGGGAAAGGAGTACAGCAAGGTTGTATACTCTCACCCAACCTATTCAACTTGTATGCGGAACACATCATGTGACGTGCAGGGCTTGACAAATCCAAGGCTGGAGTTAAAATTGCTGAAAGAAACATTAACAGCCTTCGATATGCAGATGATACCGCTTTGATGTCTGAAAGTGAGGAGGAGTCGAGGAGCCTGATTTAAAAAAACTCTAAAATTATAACAGCAAATAAAGAACAACATTCAAATGGGGAACTCCAGACAAGAAACAATTAGGGACAGCTAATCATCCCTCAACAAAGGATTCTCCCAGGCAGTAACAAGCCACACCTAAAAACTGTCAGTCCATTAAATGCTAGTCAAGGTGGCCAATTGAAACATTCACACTTAGCTCCAACAGAGTTCTTTCTCCCACCCAGAGATATATACAGTAAACCCAATTTTCCTAGTTTCCACCAGACCTCACAACTTCTGAGGATGCCTACCATAGATGCATGCAAAATGTCAGGAGATAATGCTTCTAGAATATGGCCATATAGCCCAAAAAACCTACGACCCAGGGTAAGGTAATATTTGCATGCATGGTGATGGATGCATGTATATGTGGTGTGAATCCTCAGTAAAAATGCAATTCTCCTTTGTTTGTTTGTCAGCCACATAATTGTGAATCCAATGTAGTTACATAAAATCTGTATGTCTAGAGTCATTCTTTGTGTAAAAGTTCTGATAGACCCTCTCACACTGGAAAATACAATAAAAAGAACCTGTGTTTTAGTTATTGAAAAGTTATTCATGATACAAAGCCGACTTGAGTCCCCTTTGGGACTGAGAAGGGCGGGGTCTAAATATATTTTATTTATTTATATATTTCAAACATTTGTACCCCGACCTTCTCAACTCAGGGCGGCTTGCAGCATACAAAAACACAATACAGCATGGCATTACGAAGTAGGTGAAAACATTAGGTTAAATTCCGTTTAAAACATTATTATCAACCATATAGCTATATCTGAGTCTGATTCAGTGACCGACGACCCAGTCCAAAGCCTGCCCATAGTCATTTCTCAAAAACATTGTACTCCTGGTCAGTCGTAAGGCCAAACAGGGCAAAAGGTTACAGCCTGTGTTTGGTGGGGTTACACTCCCCCTGAAGCCGCAGGTTCGCAGCTTGGGTGTGATCCTGGACTCATTTCTGAGCCTGGAACCCCAGTTTCGGTGGTGACCAGGGGAGCATTTGCACAGTTAAAGCTTGTGCGCCAGCTGCATCTGTACCTTGGGAAGTCTGACTTGGCCACGGTAGTCCATGCTCTGGTTACATCCCGTATAGACTACTGCAACACACTCTACATGGGGCTGCCTTTGAAGACTGCCCGGAAGCTTCAAATGGTCCAGCGGGCGGCAGCCAGGCTACTAACAGGAGCAGCGCTCAGGAAGCATACAACTCCGCTGTTGCGCCAGCTCCACTGGCTACCAGTTTGCTACTGGGCACAATTCAAAGTGCTGACTTTAGCCTATAAAACCCTAAATGGTTCCGGCCCAACTTACCTATCTGAATGTGTCTTCCTTTACGAACCTTCTAGGAATTTAAGATCATCTGGGGAGGCCCTGCTCTTGATCCCGCCTGCCTCACAGGCTCACTTGGCAGGGATGAGGGACAGGGCCTTCTCAGTGGTGGCCCCTCGGCTGTGGAACTTCCTTCCTGGGGATATTGGATTGGCCCCCTCCCTCCTGACATTTAGAAAAAGAGTAAAAACCTGGCTCTTTGAGCAAGCTTTTGGAACCTCATTGTAACCAGATAAACTCAGTATTGTGAACTAATATGGAATGGCTTAACGATGCAAATGGACATGGATTTAAACCCAGAAGTCATTGATTTTAATAGCTTTAAATTGTTTTTATATGAATTTTATTATGTGATTTAATCTGTTTTAAACGATGTATTTATGTGTGTTCGGCATCTAATTGTTGCCAATCTCTACACCGCCCTGAGTTGCCTTCAGGCTGGAAAGGGCGGGATAAAAGTGTGGTAAATAAAAGTGTGGCAGATAAATCGCTGTCAAGCCTGGTCCCAAAACCATGATTTGAGCTTCTTCGTAAAGGAAAGGAGGGATGGAGCTGATCTAATTTCTCTGGGGCACGTGTTCCAGAGGCGGGGAGCCACCACTGAGAAGGCCCTGTCTCTTCTCACCACTAAGAAGGCAGGATCGAGAGCAAGGCCTCCCCAGACGAATTTAAACTCCGAGGCAGGATGTAGAGGGAGATACGTTTGGACAAGAAAGCTGGGCCAGAACTGTATAGTGCTTTATAGGCCAAGACCCGCACTTTGAATTGTGCTTGGAAGTGGACCGGCAGCCAGTGGAGCTTACACAAAAGGGGGGTGCTCCCTGTATGTCGCTCCGGTGAGTAATCTGGCTGCTGCCCATTGAACTAGTTGAAGTTTCCAAACAGTCTTCAAAGGCAACCCCACATAGAGTGTGTTGCAGTAATCTATTTGGGATGTAACAAGAGTGTGGACCACCATAGCCAGATCAGACTTCCCAAGGTATATAGTAAATAAATAAAGAAAAAATATAGACGATGTTTCTTGCTGCTCCAAAGAATTGGACCTGAAGCAATAGCCTCCAGATGAAATATCACCAAAACAGAAGAGTGGTGCTGTTGAAAGAAAGAAAAGCCCAATACAATATGAGCTGAAGAGAAGAGGTATTTGCCATTGAAATAGCTCCTGGTGATATGTCTCATTGCTGTCAGTTCAATGGTTTCTCTCTTAAGTGGATTCTCTCATGTACTACTAGGACAAAAGATATCCCACGGAAGAACTTCCTGACTGTAAGGAGAGCTGTTCAGCAGTGGAACTCTCTGCCCCAGAGTGTGGTGGAGGCTTCTTCTTTGGAGGCTTTCAAACCGAGGCTGGATGGCCATCTGTTGGGGGTGCTTTGATTGCGATTTTCCTGCTTTTTGGCAGGATGGGGTTGGACTGGATGGTCCACGAGGTCTCTTCCAACTCTATGTATGGATTCTCTGGCGTTTCACAATATTTTGAGTGCTCCTAGCATGCGTAAAGTTTCTTCCTTGTGTGAATTCGCTGGTGCCTCACAAGGTGTGTTTTCTGAGTAAAATATTTTCCACACTCCTGACACCCGTAAGGTTTCTCCCCGGTGTGTATTCTCCGGTGGTTCACAAGATGCAAAGAGCAGCCAAAACATTTCCCACACTCGACACATTTATACGGTTTCTCCCCTGTGTGTTTTTTCTTGTGGTTCACAACTCTTCTGTTTTGAAAAAGATAACAATTCCCACACTCCTGGCATTTGTGCGGCTTTTCTCTCGTGTGGATTTCCTGGTGGCGTAAAAGGTGTGATTTCTGAGTAAAACACATCCCACACTCCTGGCATTTGTATGGTTTCTCCCCCGTGTGGATTCTTTGGTCTGCCTTGGGAGCAGAACATTTTTCACCTGTCTCACACGTGTGTGGTTTGTTTCCTGTGCAGTTCTTCCGATCCAGCTCAAGTTGTGATTGGTGATGAGCCAATTCCTCACATTTCAGGTGTTTTTCGCCTGTGTGGATTTTCTGATGCTTCGAAAGGCCAACTTTTTGAATGAAGCATTTCTCGCACTCCTGGCACTTGTATGGCTTCTCTCCCGTGTGGATCCTCTGATGGCGCGCAAGGTGTGGCTTCTGAGCAAAACCTTTCCCGCAATCCTGGCATTTGTAGGGTTTCTCTCCAGTGTGGACTCTCTGGTGCTTCGCCAGGTTGGACTTTTGAACAAAATATTTTTGACATACGTCACATTGGTATACTTTGTTTTCTGCGTGGCCGCTCTGACTCAGCTCAAGCTGTGAATTGTGAAAGCAGCATGTTGTACACTTTTCGGATTCACTGGATGTGTGGGGCTCCATTCGGATATCACTTTCTTCCTCTGATGGCTGGGCATGCCGGCTGGTAAGATCCAGCTTTTGCCAAAGACATTTCTCATATTTAGCACAGGCATCTGTTTCCCTCCAATTTCCCACTGCAAAGAAGAAAAAAACAGGGAAAAGTCCAATTTAACATGAAAAAAGAATTTTAGGGCATAGGGAAGGGGTTAAATCAAAATAATTCCAAAGAGAAAAGAAGGTTTGGTACAAAAGAAGAGATACATTAAGGCACTGTTTCTCCACCTTATTTTTATTTACATTATTTCTATCCCGCCCATTTCAGCCCGAAGGCGACTCAGGGCGGTATACACAGTCGGCACAATTCGATGCCGAAACAAAATACATACATTGATAAAGCAAAAACATTCAGTGCAATTAAACATATACGACAGTGCATAATAACAATTTAAAAAGAAACTATGTCCTCTGTTCAAATCTTGATCCATTTACATTGTCTTGACCTTCCTAATGCCGCAACCTCTTAATAGAGTTCTTCATCTTGTGGTGACCCCCAACCAGGAAATTATTTTCGTTGCTACTTCATAATTGTAATTTTGCTTCTGGTATGAATATTAATGTAAATATCTGATATGCAGGATGTGTTTTCATTCACTGGACCAAATTTGGCACAAATAACAGATACGCCCAAATTTGAAGACTGAGGGGTTTTGAGGGGGGAATGATTTTGTCATTTGGGAGTTGTAGTTGCTGGGATTTATAGTTCACCTACAATCAAAGAGCATTCTAAACTCCACCAATGATGGAACTGAATAAACTTGGCACACAGAACTCCCATGACTAGTACAAAAAGTTGGAAGGGTTTGGTGGGCACTGACCATGAGCTTTGGAGTTGCAGTTCACCTACATCCAGAGAACACTGGACTCAAACAACGATGGATCTGGACCAAACTTGGCACGAATACACAATATGTCCAAATGTGGACACTGGTGGAGTTTGGGGAAAATAGACCTTGACAATTGGGAACTGTATTTGCAGGGATTTATAGCTAACCTACAATCAAAGAGCATTCTGAACTTCACCAGCAATAGAATTGGGTCGAACTTCCTACACAGAACCCCATGACCAACAGAAAATACTGTGTTTTCTGATGGTCTTTGGTGACCCATCTGACACCCCCTCGCAATCCCCCAGGGGTCACAACCTCCAGGATGAGAAACACTGCATTAAGGGAACTATTGTCTGATATATAAACTCAATTTTCCTAGTTCCAGCAGACCTTGTTCTGTTGCCGCTGGACCTGAAATGAAGTGCCTTTAAGAGAGGATGTATGGCTTGGATCCAGCGAGAAGCCAGGGGGCCCGAAAAGAAGCCTTTAGAGAAATTTCCCTTATTAAACAGTCTTTATGAGGCTTGAGCTTAAATATAACAGTCTTTTATTGATGAACAAACAGGAATTGTAAAAACTTTCTTAACAATCTCTTGGCTCTTGCAATCTTGTTCACAGGGAACAGGCACTATGTTCAAAAACCTTGTTTAAAGGAAAAATCCCCTTTCTCGCTCCTCCCAGGCTGCTGTGAACCTAAACCTTATTGATGTGGATTCACTACTGGACTGAACTGCGTCTCAACGCCGACCGCTTTCAAAAGGCTTGTAATCACTTAGCTGCTTTGATGGTTAGAGCTGTTATTCCCTCCGGAATTCCTCAGGGCTGTAAGGCTGTTTCCCCGGAACCTTTGGGAATCTTTAGAGGCTCTCAAGACTGTTCTCCCCCAGAAAGTCTTAAGGGACGAAGCCTTTGCACAGGAGGACATCTGTATACATCCTCTGCATTGACTTCCTTTGCTGAGACTAACTGAAAAGTGGCCCCTTCCCTCCAAAATACCCAGAGAGGGGCGAGACCAGGGAACCTAACTATAATAGACAGGTGGCTTGCCCTATGATTGCAAACTATAACAGGAAGCCACCCTGCTGCAAAATCCCAAGCCTGGGATTGCAAACCAACATTTAATTCAAAGCAAATAAAATTGGAGCTCCTGGAACAGCTGTTCCAGAACAGACCTCACTACCTCTGAGGATGCTTGCCATAGATGTAGGCGAGATGTCAGGAGAGAATGCCTCTAGAATATGGCCATTCAGTACTAATCAAGGTGGCTAATTGCAATATTCACACTTGCCTCAAACAGACAAGAGTTCTTTCTCCCACTGTGGACATTATTCCACAAATATATAAACCCCACATGCCCAGTTTCCAACAGACCTCACAACCTCAGAGGATGCCAGCCATAGATGAGGGCATAACGTCAGGAGAGAATGCTTCTGGAACAAGGCCAGACAGCAAAGAAAGAACCCTGTGATAGGTTTGACTTTAAGTTAGGAACAACCAGAAGGCACAAAACAACAACCAGGACTCACAGGATTCGGGACAGAGAATGTTCATCCTTACCTTGCAAGGGGACCCTGCCATTGTCCTCCTGCCTGATGGTCCTCTGCCTGAGGTCCAATTGAGCCTTCTCTGCCACAGGGAATTCAGAGGTAACTTCTATCAAGAGATCTTTAACCTGAAACAACAGTGAGGATTCAAGATACAGAATGGGAAGAAGGACAAGAACACAGCAAATATCTTTGAGGAAGGGCTTTGGACACAAATGGTTTGTGATCCAACCACAACTCAATCAGGAACAAGTCAGTAGTTCAGTAGCCTGACTTGAAAAGGCAATTTATAATATAAAAACTGAACAAAGTATGATACCTTAGTTATGAATGCCAAGAAGCCCACAGGAAGAACACTGGATGGTCTAAAAACAAATGCTGCTTTGAATTATGAAAGCTTATCCCATACTCATACCATATACACGTGTGTATGTGAACGGGAAAGGGAATGTTGGTGGACTAGAAAAGAGATTTGAAAATGGGCTTAAAGCCAACCTCAAAATCTGTGGCATAGACACTGAGAACTGGGAAGCCCTGGCCCTTGAGCCCTCTAACTAGAGGTCAGCTGTGACCAGCAGTGCTGTGGAATTCAAAGAGTAATACTCCTGACCTCACGATCCTGGGGGGAAAAAACAACTATGGATTGTCGATGTTGCAATCCCAGGTGACAGCAGAATTGATGGGAACCAACTGGAAAAGCTGACACGGTATAAGGATTTAAAGATCGAAATGCAAAGACTCTGGCACAAGCCAGCAAAAGTGGTCCCAGTGGCAATCAGCACACTGGGTGCAGTGCCGAAAGACCTTGGCCTGCACATAAACACAATCAGCGCTGACAAAATCGCCACCTGTCAGCTGCAAAAGGCCACCCTACTGGGATCTGCACGCATTATTTGCCGATACATCACACAGGCCTAGACACTTGGGAAGTGTCCGACATGTAATCCGATACAACAGGCAGCAGAGCGATCTTATTTGCTGTGAACTCATCTTGTTGTGTTTCTAATAATAATAATAATAATAATAATAATAATAATAATAATAATAATAATAAATCACACAGGCCTAGACACTTGGGAAGTGTCCGACATGTAATCCAATACAACAGCCAGCAGAGTGATTTTGTTTGCTCTGGATTCATCTTGTTGTGTTTCAAATAATAATAATAATAATAATAATAATAATAATAATATTTTGTCATGTCAGGAGCGACTTGAGAAACTGCAAGATGCTTCTGGTGTGAGAGAATTGGCCGTCTTCAAGGACGTTGCCCAGGGGACGCGCAGATGTTTTGATGCTTTATCATCCTTGTGGGGGGCTTCTCTCATGTCCCTGTATGGGGAGCTGGAGCTGACAGAAGGAGCTCATCCGCGCTCTCCCCGGATTCGAACCTGCGACCTGTTGGTCTTCAGTCCTGCTGGCACAGGGGTTTAACCCACTACGCCACCGGGGGCTCCAATAATAATAATAATAATAATAATAATAATAATAATAATAATAATAATAATACATCACAGTCCTAGACACTTGAGAAGGGTCCGACATGTGATCCAATACAACAGCCAGCAGAGTGATCTTTTCTGCTGTGGACTCTTCTTGTTGTGTTTCAAATAATAATAATAACAACAACAACAACAACAGCCAGGAGAGTGATCTTGTCTGCTGTAGACTCATCTTGTTGTGTTTCAAATAATCATAATCATAATCATAATCATAATAACAACAACAGCCAGGAGAGTGATCTTGTCTGCTGTAGACTCATCTTGTTGTGTTTCAAATAATAATCATAATAACAACAACAACAGCCAGGAGAGTGATCTTGTTAACTGTGGACTCATCTTGTTGTGTTTCAAATAATAATAATAATAATAATAATAATAATAATAATAACAACAACAACAGTCAAGAAAGTGATCTTGTTTGCTGTGGACTCATCTTGTTGTGTTTCAAATAATAATAATAATAATAATAATAATAATAATAATAATAATAGCAGCCAGGAGAGTGATCTTGTCTGCTGTGGACTCATCTTGTTGTGTTTCTAATAACAACAACAACAACAACAACAACAACAACAGCCAGGAGAGTGATCTTGTTTGCTGTGGACTCATCTTGTTGTGTTTCAAATAATAATAATAATAATAATAATAATAATAATAATAATAATAACAACAACAACAACAGCCAGGAGTGTGATCTTGTCTGTTGTGGACTCATCTTGTTGTGTTTCAAATAATAATAATAATAATAATAATAATAATAATAATAATAACAACAACAACAACAACAACAACAACAGCCAGGAGAGTGATCTTGTTTGCTGTGGACTCATCTTGTTGTGTTTCAAATAATAATAATAATAATAATAATAATAATAATAATAATAACAACAACAACAGCCAGGAGTGTGATCTTGTCTGTTGTGGACTCATCTTGTTGTGTTTCAAATAATAACAATAATAATAATAATAATAATAATAATAATAATAACAACAGCACAACAGCAACAACAGCCAGGAGAGTGATCTTGTTTGCTGTGGACTCATCTTGTTGTGTTTCTAATAATAATAATAATAATAATAATAATAATAATAACAACAACAACAACAACAGCCAGGAGTGTGATCTTGTTTGCTGTGGACTCATCTTGTTGTGTTTCAAATAATAACAATAATAATAATAATAATAATAATAACAACAGCACAACAGCAACAACAGCCAGGAGAGTGATCTTGTTTGCTGTGGACTCATCTTGTTGTGTTTCTAATAATAATAATAATAATAATAATAATAATAATAACAACAACAGCCAGGAGAGTGATCTTGTTTGCTGTGGACTCATCTTGTTGTGTTTCTAATAATAATAATAATAATAATAATAATAATAATAATAACAACAACAACAACAGCCAGGAGAGTGATCTTGTTTGCTGTGGACTCATCTTGTTGTGTTTCAAATAATAATAATAATAATAATAATAATAATAATAATAATAACAACAACAACAACAACAACAACAGCCAGGAGAGTGATCTTGTTTGCTGTGGACTCATCTTGTTGTGTTTCAAATAATAACAATAATAATAATAATAATAATAATAACAGCACAACAGCAACAACAGCCAGGAGAGTGATCTTGTTTGCTGTGGACTCATCTTGTTGTGTTTCAAATAATAACAATAATAATAATAATAATAATAATAATAATAATAACAACAGCACAACAGCAACAACAGCCAGGAGAGTGATCTTGTTTGCTGTGGACTCATCTTGTTGTGTTTCTAATAATAATAATAATAATAATAATAATAATAATAACAACAACAGCCAGGAGAGTGATCTTGTTTGCTGTGGACTCATCTTGTTGTGTTTCTAATAATAATAATAATAATAATAATAATAATAATAATAACAACAACAACAACAGCCAGGAGTGTGATCTTGTCTGTTGTGGACTCATCTTGTTGTGTTTCAAATAATAATAATAATAATAATAATAATAATAATAACAACAACAACAACAACAACAACAGCCAGGAGAGTGATCTTGTTTGCTGTGGACTCATCTTGTTGTGTTTCAAATAATAACAATAATAATAATAATAATAATAATAATAATAACAGCACAACAGCAACAACAGCCAGGAGAGTGATCTTGTTTGCTGTGGACTCATCTTGTTGTGTTTCTAATAATAATAATAATAATAATAATAATAATAATAATAATAACAACAACAGCCAGGAGAGTGATCTTGTTTGCTGTGGACTCATCTTGTTGTGTTTCTAATAATAATAATAATAATAATAATAATAATAATAACAACAACAGCCAGGAGAGTGATCTTGTTTGCTGTGGACTCATCTTGTTGTGTTTCTAATAATAATAATAATAATAATAACAATAATAACAACAACAGCAACAGCCAGGAGAGTGATCTTGTTTGCTGTGGACTCATCTTGTTGTGTTTCAAATCATCATCATCATCATCATCATCATCATCATCATCATCATCATCATCTTGTGTTTCAAATAATAATAATAATAATAATAATAATAATAATAATAATAATAATAATAATGGTTCTTGGCCTTTGCCTGAGTCAAGAGGAAGCCTCCAGCTTGGACTACAACCTCCAAAATCCCCCACTGCTTCCAACACAGATCTTAGTTTCTTGGAACCATAGAATCCTAGAGTTGAAGCATCCAGTCCCACCCTCTGCCATGCAGCAACACAGAATCTAAGCACCCCTGACAGATGGCCAAACAGCCTTTGTTCAACCCCCCCCACCCCACCCCCCAAGAAAGCCTTATTCCAGTGCCAAACAACTCTTACCATCAGGACATTCTTCCTAATGTTTAGATGGAATCTCTCCTGCAAGATGCCATCAAGGCCCCGTCTGTCTTCAGGATCCGCTACATCTGGCTCATCCATCACTGCTGTTGTTGTTGTTGTTTTCTACACCAATGAATCCACAACTAGGATCAATGTGATCTGTCCCCTTTTCTTCTCAGAGTAAAGATGTCTCCAGCATCTTCTAAATCCAATATGTTGGTGTGTTAATCTGCTGTCCGTTCAGCACCAGCCAGATGTTAAACCCTTTCCAAACCCATCAATCCTTCCTCCCTTTTCTCCCAATTCCGGATGGGTTAGAAACAAGCAAAGGTAAACTTGGACCCTCCCTCCAGGTGTTTTGGACTCCAACTCCCACAATTCCTAACAAACCCAAGCAGGAGAGAGCAAATAGCAAAGCACAGGACAAAAGAGCAAAGGAGGCAGGGCTTGAGGGCCAAAGTGACACCCCTCTGGAGGACTGGCTTCTCTTCTTTCTCTTTGGAAATCCCTCTCTATCCTTTTAACCCTTCCTTATGCCATGCTGCTCAGGCCTCTATTCTCTCTGGTTCGCTTTTGAGGCTGGAAGGGACCCCTCCTAGTCAGGCATTTCTTCCTGTAGAGAATAGGAAAATATTTTTTCCCCATAATGGCTGGATCCACAAATGTGGAAGGATGCTGGCCCTAATACTAGTGGGCAGATTTTGTTCATTTTCATGGTTTACTCCTTTCTGTTGAAATTGCCCATGTGCTTGTAGAATCACTGAGTTGGAAGAGACCTCATGGGCCATCCAGTCCAACCGCATTCTGCCAAGAAGCAGGAAAATCACATTTTCCTTCCTACCTTTTTCATTGCTATCTCATCCAGAGTCTTGTCATTTTATGTCATGCATTTGGCCCGCCCATTGTGTTTGATTTTCCATTATGTTATTTTGCACTGTTTATTTTACTTGAATGGCTTATTTATTTTATCGTGATGTTATTTTTGTTGTTTATATTTTATTTTGCTGTAATGTATCGCTGGGCTTGGACTCATGCAAGCCATTCCGAGTCCCCTTTGGGGAGATGGTGGTGGGGTATAAATAAAGATTATTATTATTATTATTATTATTATTATTATTATTATTATTATTCAAAGCACTCCCAACACACAGCCATACAGTGTCTGTTTACGCCTCCAAAGAAGGAGCCTCCACCACACTCCGGGGCAGAGAGTTCCACTGCTGAACAGCTCTCACAGGAAGTTCTTCCTAATATTCAGATGGAATCTCCTTTCCTGTAGTTTGGAGCCATTGTTCCATTGTGTCCCACTCTCCACGGCAGCAGAAAACAAGCTTGTTCTCTCCTCCCTATGACTTCTTTTCACATACTTATACATGCCCATCATGTCCCCTCTCAGCCTTCTCTTCTTCAGTCTAAACATCCCCAGCTCTTTAAGCTGCTCCTCATAGGGCTTGTTCTCCAGACCCTATGGATTTCAAAGGCTTCTCTGTGTAGTCTGACATCTTAGTTGTTAGAGCGGTCCAGCCGTATACCATGCAGCTATGGACAAGTGTACATAGGACACTCAAATACAGCATTGCCTAAACATGAATCAAAGAACATGAAAGGCACTGCAGACTATTTTAACCAGAGAAGTCAGCCATAGCAGTGTAATAAGAAATTCAATGTGCAAATTTGATAAATGAGAATTTAATAATGATGTGTGGGAATGAATGGAAGAATGGAAGGATGTGTGGATGGAGTTAATCATTTTGGAAATATAATACTAAGGCCTGCAATGACTAACTACCTGCTTGCTGCTTTGTGATTAAAACCTGTTAATGAGATCTGAAGAGTAAACTCTGATAAGAACTGGGACAGTGATAAATGAAATGTTTGCAACCTTCCTTATGTTAAGAAGGAAGTCAACACAAGCCTTGTGTTTGTCAACACCAATCAAGAAGAGTCAACATCTGGCCAGGAAACTGAGGATGGAGGACATCTATCATTAATTTACAACTTTGGGACTACATCAACAGAATATTCCTATAAAAGACTCAGGCTAATAATGCTCAAATTGTGGCAGACTGAGGAGTCTGTTCCACCCGCCATGCTCTGCTCCATGGGAAGGAGAGAGGCGGTGTATTCAGAGAGTGTCAGATATGCTATGGTAAAGCATGATTCTGGTCACTTTGAGGCTTCTTTCTCAAGGGAAGAGGAAGAAGTGTGCTTTTGGAGTCTTGGATTTTGTGCAGGGAGTCAGGTTCTGCTGTATGGAAAACAGAGATCTGGCCCTTGGCATTGTTCTTAGGGAAAGAAGTTTTGGCATCTCAGCGTTTTGAAGTTTTGGCGTTATGGAAGTTTTGGAACTATGCATTGGCAGGCTGCAGGAAATCAGGGTCTGGCCTAACAGGTGCTTCTCCAAGGAGGGAGAAAGTGATATCGAGGTACCTTTTAGGAGGGTCTCCCCAGTGAGGAGATCCCTGAGGACCGCACCAAAGAGAGTCCTTAAACCTTGGTGAGGCCAGCGAAGCCAATTTCAGCGTTAAAAATATTTAAAATAATAAATCCCCACCAAAAACGGAAGAAGTTCAGCGACCGAGATGTTTTATTAGCGATTCAGCTGAGATCGGATGCAACTGTAGGAATCATTCCACTACAAGCATAGCAATACAGAATTTTACTGGCATTTTTATAGAGAAAATACAGGTTTGAAAGTTTCAAAACTCCCTCCCTCTTTGGCTCCTTAGCAAATCAGGGAGAGGGAAGCAGGACGGAAGAGGGGCATTGTTTTGGCTGGCAAGGTGCAATCTCCACAAACAAAGGTTTTCCTGATGGGTTTTGATGAGGGAAACAAACAGGATCAGGCCTGCGGACCTCAGAGGGGTCAACGCTGCCCTTTGTAATTTCAATCTTTTTTCCAAAGTCTCATAGGCTTCCTCCTCAGGCCAGACCAGCTCAGAAAATGAGAGAAAGAAGCCATAAATGGCTATTGTTCATGCCGATGAGTTAATCAAAAGATAAGTTTCGAGGGAGGCAGGGGTTCTCCCTCGAGCAGTTCAACAATCCTTGGTCTTCTTTAAAGGGGAAAGGTCAAGGGGAAGGGCAATATTTCATAGCAAGATACATACATATTTGGATGCATGTGGATGAATGTGTGTATATGTGTGTGAATGCTGAGTGAAAATGTAATTCCCCTTTTTATGTTTGTTAACCAATGTTATTGTAAATCCAATGTAGTTGCATAGAATCTGTATGTCTGTATGCCCAATGCCATTCTTTGTCTAAATGTTTTCTGTAATCTGATATACCTTCACACACTGGAAATTGCAATAAAAAGAACCTGTGCTTCAAAATCATTGAAAACTCATTCATGACATAATAGCACCTGATGAACCAACCTGGACACAGCATATTATTTGAGAACACAGAAATGCTGGACCACTCTCACAACCACCCTGTCAGGCTACACAGAGAAGCCACTGAAATCCACAAGAAGCATGTGGACAATGTCAACAGAAACTACAAGAGAGGAGATTCCATCTGAACATGAGGAAGAACTTCCTGAGTGTGAGAGCCGTTCAGCAGTGGAACTCTCTGCCCTGGAGTGTGGTGGAGGCTCCTTCTTTGGAAGCTTTGAAACAGAGGCTGGATGGCCATCTGTCAGGGGTGATTTGAATGCAATATTCCTGCTTCTTGGCAGAATGGGGTTGGACTGGATGGCCCATGAGGTCTCTTCCAACTCTTTGATTCTATGATTCTAAGTCCCTGGATAGTATATGTTAAGGAAATAGGTTTGTAAACAAAACAAAGCATGCAAGTTTCCTCCCTCCCTCCTTCCCGCCTTCCTCCAGCAAAGGATTGGTCACGTGACGGGAAGAGCCTGCTGCTCAGAGAGGAGGGAAGGGCTTCCGGGTCTCCTCCTCCTCCTCCTTCCTCTTGGGTGCCTTCCTCTCCTCCCTGGTTGGTGAGTCTCATCCCAGTCCTTCTCCATAGGCCTGACCCTGCGGTTAGGAGCCCTTGGTGGCGCAGTGGGTTAAACTGGATGGCCATCTGTCAGGGGTGATTTGAATGCAATATTCCTGCTTCTTGGCAGAATGGGGTTGGACTGGATGGCCCACGAGGTCTCTTCCAACTCTTTGATTCTATGGTTCTATGATTGTTTGAGTCCACAGTCCTCTCTGGATGTAGGTGAACTACAACTCCCAAACTCAAGGTCAATGCCCACCAAACCCTTTCAATATTTTGGGCTAGTCATGGGAGTTCTGTGTGCCAAGTTTAGTTCAGTTCCATCATTGATGGGAGTTCAGAATGCTCTTTGGTTGTAGCTGAACTATAAATCCCAGCAGCTACAACTCCCAAATGTCAAGGCCTATTTTCCCCAATCTCCATCTGTGTTCATATTTGGGCATATGGAATATTCGTGCCAAGTTTGGTCCAGATCCATCATTGTTTGAGTCCTCAGTCCTCTCTGGATGTAGGTGAACTACAACTCTCAAACTCAAGGTCAATGCCCACCAAACCCTTCCAATATTTTGTGAGCCAAGTTTAGTTCAGTTCCATCATTGGTGGAGTTCAGGTGCTCTTTGGTTGTAGGTGAACTATAAATCCCAGCAACCACAACTCCCAAATGTCAAGGTCTATTTTCCCCAATCTCCACCAGGGCTCACATTCGGGCATATAGTGTATTCATGCCAAGTTTAGTCCAGATCCATCCTTGTTTAAATCCTCAGTCCTCTCTGGATGTAGGTGAACTACAACTCCCAAACTCAAGGTCAATGCCCACCAAACCCTTTTAGTATTTTCTGTTGGTCATGGAAGTTCTGTGTTTCTTTTACTTTGTATACTTAGAAAAGCAATCAGTAAAAATTTAATATTAAAAACCCCAGTGTTTAGTGTATAGAAGCTGGGCCTAACAGCAGGTGCTCACCCTGGGGAGCAGGGTGAGCTCCAGCTGTTAGCCCCAACTCCTAGAATCATAGAGTTGGAAGAGACCTCATGGGCCATCCAGTCCAACCCCATTCTGCCAAGAAGCAGGAATATTGCATTCAAAGCATCCCCAACAGATGGCCATCCAGCCTCTGTCTAAAAGCTTCCAAAAAAGGAGCCTCCACCACACTCCATGGCAGAGAGTTCCACTGCTGAACAGCTCTCACAGTCAGGAAGTTCTTCCTCATGTTCAGATGGAATCTCCTTCCTTGTAGTTTGAAGCCATTAGCTCCTGCTAACCTAGCAGTTCGCAAACATCCAAATGTGAGTAGATCAATAGGTACTGCTCCATGCAGTCATGCCAGCCACATGACCTTGGAGTTGTCTACGGACAACGCTGGCTCTTCGACTTAGAAATGGAGATGAGCACCCCGTTCTCCAGAGCCAGATTTGACTAGACTCAATGTCAAGGGGAAAATTTTACCTTTTAGTGCAGCGTTTCTCAACCTGGGGGTCGGGACCCCTGGAGGGGTTGCAAGGAGGTGTCAGAAGGATTGCCAAAGACCACCAGAAAACACAGTATTTTCTGGGTTGTTGTAGGTTTTTCGGGCTATATTGACATGTTCTAGAAGCATTCTCTCCTGATATTTTGCCTGCATCTATGGCAGGCATACTCAGAGGTTTTGAGGTCTGACCAACAGTATTTTTGTTGGTCATGGGGGTTCTGTCTGGAAAGTTTGGCACAATTCTATTGTTGGTGGGGTTCAGAATGATCTTTGATTGTAGCTGGACTAAAAATCCCAGCAACTACAACTCCCAAATGTCAAGGTCTATTTCCCACAATCTCCACCAGGGCTCACATTTGGGCATATTGAGTATTCCTGTCAAGTTTGGTCCAGATCCATCATTATTTGAATGTACAGTACTCTCTGGATGTAAGTGAACTACAGCTCCCGAACTCAAGGTCAATGCCCACCAAACCCTTCCAGTATTTTCTGTTGGTCTTGGGAGTTCTGTGTGTCAAATTTGGTTCAATTCCATTGTTGATGGAGTTCAGAATGCTTTTTGATTGTAGCTGAACTATAAATCCCAGCAACTCCAACTCCCAAATGACAAAATCAATCCCTCCCCCAACCCTACCAGTATTCAAATTTGTGGGCTTTTGTGCCTGCATATCAGATATTTACTTATTCTGACTTAAAAACAAATTCAACTTAAGAACAAACCCGGGGACTGCCTGTAGTTGTTATTGTAATATTTGTGGTGAAACAATTCCTGAAATAACAAAGGGAAAATGCCACACTTTCTCTTGCAGGGAGGGACGTAATGTTTTCAAGCTGCAGTGGGTTGAATTGGTGAAATACAGAGGGATCAGTGTAGGTACGTACATGTGCAAAGAGGCACATTGAATGGGCTGTGGATTAAAAACCAGACGCCATCACGTAATGATTGGAAAGATCTTGGAGTGAAGTCTGTTGTCTAATTCTGCCTTTCTTTCACAGAGGAAATGTGATTGTTACCTGAGAATTTTGGAGTCGAGCCTGTTGAGGGATTTCTTTTCCTTAAAGAGAGGAGGAAGGAAGAGCATCTTAGATCCAATTTGCTTCTTCATCAAACAGTTGTTGCAATATGGAGAGACCCAACTCACCTGGACCTCAAGTAGGCATAGCCCCCGGGAACAGTGGGGAATCCTGGGAAAGAACTAAGCAGATATTCCTGGATGAGCAAATGCAGTGCCAGCGCTTCAGGCATTCCTCCTTCCGAGAGGGCGAGGGACCCAGAGAGGTTTGCAGCCGCCTCCACTCTCTCTGCCGCCAGTGGCTGAAGCCAGAGCAACACACCAAGGCGGAGATGCTGGACCTGGTGATCCTGGAGCAGTTCCTGAGCATCCTGCCCCCAGAGATGGGGAGCTGGGTCCGAGAGTGTGGGGCAGAGACCTCTTCCCAGGCGGTGGCCCTGGCGGAAGGCTTCCTCCTGAGTCGGGCAGAGGACGGGGAGCAGGAAGGACAGGTGAGAGCATTTCCCCTTGGTTTCACTCACCTTTCAACTGATGGTCAGATTATAGAATCCAGTCCAACCCCCTGCTTTCAAATCACCTTCAAAACATCCCAAACAGATGGCCATCCAGCCTCTGCCTAAAAGCCTCCATAGATGATGTCTCCACCACACTATGGGGCAGAGGGAGAGTTCCACTGCTGAACAGCTCTCTCTCACAGTTAGGAAGTATATCCTAATGTTCAGGTGGGATCACGTTTCCTGTAGTTTGAAGCCGTTGTTCTGTGTCGTAGTCTCCAGGGCAGCAGAAAATAAGCCTGCTCCCACTTCCTTGTGACATCTTTCCACATATTTATCCATGCCCCTCATCATGTCTCCTCTCAGCCTTCTCCTCTTCAGGCTAAATATACCTAGTTCTTTCAGCTGCTCCTCATAGGGGTTGTTCTCCAGACCCTTGATCCTTTGAGTCATTCTCCTTTGGACACATTCCAGCTTGTCAACATCTCCCTTCAATTGTGGCACCCACAATTGGACATTGTGTGATTCCAGGTGTAGTCTGACCAAGCCAGAACAGAGGGGTAGCATGACTTCCTTGGATGTAAGCACTATGCCCCTATGGATGTAGGCCAAAATCCCATTGGCTTTTTTTGCTGTAACATGAAACTGTTGGCTTATGTTTACCTTCCTCCCTATGAGGACTCCAAGATCTTTTTCACACGTCCTGCTGTCAAGTCAGGCATGCCCCCCCCCCCATTCTGTATCTTTGCATTTCATTTTTTCCCTGCCTAAGTGGAGTATCTTGCATTTTTCCCTGTTGTACTTCATTTTGTTAGTTTTCATAGAATCATAGAGTTGGAAGAGACCTCATGGGCCATCCAGTCCAACCCCATGCCAAGAAGCAGGAATATTGCATTCAAAGCATCCCCAACAGATGGCCATCCAGCCTCTGTCTAAAAGCTTCCAAAAAAGGAGCCTCCACCACACTCCAGGGCAGAGGGTTCCACTGCTGAATGGCTCTCACAGTCAGGAAGTTCTTCCTCATGTTCAGATGGAATCTCCTCTCTTGTAGTTTGAAGCCATTGTTCCATTGCGTCCTAGTCTCCAGGGAAGCAGAAAACAAGCTTGCTCCCTCCTCCTCCTTGTGGCTTCCTCTCACATATTTATACATGGCTATCATATCTCCTCTCAGCCTCCTCTTCTTCAGGCTAAACATGGCCAATCATCTCTAATCTGTTGAGATTAAATGTTAATGTTGAACAGGACCGTGCCCAGGACGGGACCCTGCTGATGGCACTCCACTCATCACTTCTTTACAGGATGAAGAGGAAGCATTAGGGAAAATCACCCTCTGCATTTATTCGCTTAACTAATTACAGATCCATCTAACCATACTTTTGCCTAACCCACATTTGACTAGTTTGTTTGCCAGGAGGGGGACCTTGTTGAAGGCCTTCCTGAAATCCAGATATGCTACATCCACTGCATCTCTCCAGCTTGTAACTCCATTGCAAAAAGGGATCAGATTAGTCTGGCATGACTTGTTTTTGATAAATCGGTATTGTCTATTAATCCTATTAATCCTAAATCCTGCTTTTTTTCCAAGATTGGACCCAAATGGGGGATAAGCCAATCCTTGAAGAGACCCAACTCACTTGAACCTGAAGCAGGCAGGGCCTCCGGAAGCAGTGGAGAATTCTGGGAAAGAACTACACAGATGTTCCCGAATACGTACACACAGCACCAGTGCTTCAGGCAGTCCTCCTACCAAGAGGGCGAGGGACCTGGAGATGTTTGCAGCCACCTCCACGATCTCTGCCGCCAGTGGCTGAAGCCAGAGCACCACTCCAAGGTGGAGATACTGGACCTGGTGATCCTGGAGCAGTTCCTGAGCATCCTGCCCCCAGAGATGGGGAGCTGGGTCCGAGAGTGTGGGGCAGAGACCTCTTCCCAGGCGGTGGCCCTGGCGGAAGGCTTCCTCCTGAGTCGGGAAGAGGATGAGAGGCGGGAAGGACAGGTGAGAGCATTGCCTCTTGGCTTCACTCACCTTGGGACTGATGGATAGATTAAACGTATGCCCTGCCTTCCTTCCAAGATGGGACCCATGTGAGGGAGAAGCCGGACTCTGCTCCCTCGGCCTCTTCCCCCCCCCCCCCTGTTCTGCCCCTCCTGCTTTCACCTCCATATCCACTGTGAGCTCAGTTGCTTCTCAGTTCAGATTTATTGACCCCAGATATCACACTGAAAATCATGGGAGGTAGAATATGGCCTATCTCAGAATGCAGTTTCTACACATTTGGAAGAAAACATATTTTCCAGTCTTTCTTCACACTACTTATGAATTTCTCTGTGTTCTTTCAGGCCCAAAATAACTGTATTGAAACTAAGCCTGGTGTCCCTGAATCTCCATCAGGCACCAGCCAGAGTCTCCAGCAGAAAGAGCTCAAGCAGGAAGGAGATGAAGCTGCAGCCTTGCAGGGTAAGAAGGAACCCTTCTGGGAATTTTGGTGTTTTATGCCAGTGAAAATGCCCCTTCAGGGGGGTTGTAGCACACCCACAATCAGTTTGAGCTAGAGAAGATGCACATGCAGGATCATTTGGCCTTGAGACGAGTGTATAGGTATGGAATAGATCAAAAGTGGTGAAGCCAATGTCAATATTGTACAGAGATAGAAAAAGCTGAGCTCATGAATCAAGTTCATAATGGAAATTGTGGTATGGGTACAATGTGGGGGAGGAAAGAAAAGCGTGAACAGAAGATATGTTAGATAAATGAGTGGATAAGATAGAAGGGAGGAAGAGTGAGAAATAGGAAGAGGTTGGGGAAATGTCATAGATGAATGATGTGTATGGAATAAATGTACAAAATCTACTCGTATAACAAATAATAATAATAATAGTAATAGTAATAATTCATTTAATAAGATGTGTATACAGGTAGGCATTCAGATTGCAAAAACTGTAATTTCAGTGTGATTTGCAAGGTTTTTTTTCTAGTAATACTCTACATTTGCATATTGTTGGGTGGGACTGAAAAATCAGCCCTTCAGATGAGCCCTGAAACTGAGCTGGAAGACAAACAGATAACAAAGAATAACTTTAGTCAATTGAAATACCAAGTCCAGGACTAGTTTAATTCAACCTACTCACAGCACCTGCTGAGATAAAAAGTCCTAAACTCCAAAATGTGACCTATTCCTGGGCTGGAGAATGCTCCTGTGTTCATAGGGTCATTTCCTCATACGTTTCTTTTTAGGACTGTGACTGTCACTCTGAGACATACTTATGTGATCAGCTTTCCACGCCTTTCTCTCTCTTCCAGGGGCTGGAATGATGTTGTGGCCAAATTCTCAGTCATTTCTTCTGCTTTATGATGGAGTGGACCTGAATCAGGTATGGGATGGATGACACCTGGCTCGACAACAGTTCATGTGAAAGTCATCTTGGAGTGTTAGTAGATGACAAGTTGAACATGAGCCAACAATGTGATGCAACAGCTTAGAAACCTATGGGATTTTGGTCTGCATTGAAAGGAATGTAGTGTCTACATTAAGGGAAATCACAGTGAGCTTCTTTCTGCTTTGGTGAGACCACACCTGGAATAACACTGTGTTCGGTTCTTTTTCCACTAGGGCCCAATCGCCTTTGAGGATGTGGCTGTCCATTTCTCCCTAGAGGAGTGGGCTCTCCTGAATCCTGATCAGAAAGCATTGCACGTGCAGATCATGGAGGAGATTCATGGGATGGTGGACTCTCTTGGTAAGGCTCCCTCACTCGTGGGGATTTCTATTTCAAAATGCAGGATCCCAATCAGCAGCTCCCTAGTGGGAGCAGGAACCTAAATCATCCCAATCACCAAGGCATGTCTTACGTTAGAAATATATGTCATAAGAGTAATATTGACTTGGAGCCTGAGCAACAGCAGTCTTAGCACCATTTTGGACTCCAGTAGAAATACTTCCATAACTGGAGTCAAGTCCAAGCGTACCACACTCCCTTGCAGCACCACGGCCCCCTGGAAAACCTCTCAAGAGTGATCACCCCAGGTCAGTCACACACACACACACTCTGCATCTCTGTGAGTGTGTGTGAGAGAGAGAGGCAGGAGAGGGGGTGGGAAACAGATTTTCAAAACGTATCCCAGGAAACCTCTCCTGCCTTCAGGCACACATTTTGAACCATCTGGTTTTGCATCCTGTGTGCCCTTGGACGGCTTGGAAAGCCACTGCCTGAAGCCAAAAGGAGTCTGGAAAATGATGGGAGGGAGTGGTTTTGCAAAATCTGACATGCTCTTGATGTCTGCTGACAGGCTTCTTCCCAGTAACTTGGGCTCCCTGGAAATCTATTAAGAGCCATCGCCCAGATTGATTGGCTGGCAAGTGGGGCCGGAGAATGGAGCATCAAAAAGAACAAACTTCCCCAGGCTTCACATACACAGACACTGCTATACGTCTTTTTATTGGGCTCATATTCCTCTGGCTTTAGATTTTCAGACAGAACTATACATCTTTTTATTGGGTGATATTCCGCCTTGTTTTTCTTCCCAGCCAGGCAGTCTAGCCTCTGCATGCCCGAAGGCCAGTCTCTCTTTGTATGCTGCCTCTCCCAGCACACAAACTGTCCTTAGCTTTAGCCACTTGCGAGATGGTGACCTGCAACATAATGTGTTCTATGTTCTGTGCTTGTGAATGATTGGATCTCGGGGTTTTGTGTTTACAGTCACATGGGGAGAGAGAACTGGAGGTTGGAGGAGAGAAAGAAAAAGAAGGGAATGTTTGTGAAATGGGTGGTAGCAAGGTAAAGGTTCAGTTAGAGAAAAAGGCAAGGATTTGAATGCGAAGGGAAAAGGGAGAAGGAGTCAGAATAAAAAAAAAACATGCTGGACTGAGGAACAGGTATGCTCTGGAACATATGTTATTCATCTCTCCCTTAGAGGCTCCAGGCAGTCAAACAGTTCTATCCTTACTGAACAAGGGGTGGGAAGAGGACAGTGTTTATATCTTAGACTCTTTATCACTCATGCTGAGGAATGATTGCTTCTGTCCTTCTTCTTCATAGCAGATGACTGGAAGAAGAACAATGTATACACCGAATGCAATAAGCATTTTGGGCACAATGGAGACCTTTCTAAACACCAGCAAACCCACAGTGAAGAAGGAGGTTCTGCCATAGAAAGGCCCTACAAATGCAATGTATGTGGGCAGTGTTTTGCCCAAAATATGGATCTTGTGCTTCACAAGGCACTCCATGCTGGGAAAAGGCATCTTAAAGAGAACATATCAGCAAAATGTGTTGTTGATTCCAAATTGCCACATCTGAGCCAAGAAGAAATCTTTGAAGGAACCGAGGATTTCATAAGCCAGGAGTGTGGCGAATCTTTTATCCAGAGTTCACACTTGGTGAAACATGAGATATTTAACATAGGAGAGAAACTATATGAATGCCAGGAGTGTGGGACATGTTTTCCTGACAGTTCAGCCTTGGTGAGCCACCAAAGACTCCACGCAGGAAAGAAGCCATACCAATGCCAGGAGTGCGGGAAATATTTTGCTCACAGTTCAACATTAGTGAGGCACAAAAGACTCCACACAGGAGAGAAGCCATACCAATGCCAGGAGTGTAGGAAATGTTTTGCTTCCAGTTCGGCCTTGGTGAGCCATGAAAGATTCCACACAGGAGAGAAGCCATACCAGTGCCAGGAGTGTGAAGAATGTTTTGCTTGCAGTTCACTCTTGGTAAGGCACAAAAGACTCCACACAGGAGAAAAACCTTACCAATGCCAGGAGTGTGGGAAATGTTTTGCTTACAGTTCAGCCTTGGTGAGCCACAAAAGAATCCACACAGGAGAGAAGCCATTCCAATGCCAGGAGTGTGCGAAATGTTTTGCTCACAGTTCTGCCTTGGTGAGGCACAAAAGAGTCCACACAGGAGAGAAGCCATACCAATGCCAGGATTGTCTGAAATGTTTTCCTGACATTTCTGCCTTGGTGAGCCACAAAAAACTCCACACAGGAGAGAAGCCATACCAATGCCAGGAGTGTGGGAAATGTTTTCCTCGCAGTTCAGCCTTGGTGAGCCACAAAAGACTCCACACAGGAGAGAAGCCATACCAATGCCAGGAGTGTGGGAAATGTTTTGCTGACAGTTCAAACTTGGTGAGCCACAGAAGACTCCACACAAGAGAGACAGTATATAAATGCCAGGAGTGTGAGAAATGGTATTCTTCCAAGTCATCACTTCTGAGACACCAGAGCATCCACACAGGGGAGAAGCCATTCCAATGCCAGGAGTGTGGGAAATGTTTTGCTGATAGTTCACAATTGTTGACGCACATAAGAGTCCACACAGGAGAAAAACCATACCAATGTCGAGAGTGTGGAAAATGTTTTGCTTACAGTTCCGACTTGATGACCCATAAAAGACTTCACACAGGAGAGAAGCCATACCAATGTCAGGAGTGTGGAGAATGTTTTGCTCGCAGTTCACACTTGGTGAGACACCAGAGCGTCCACACAGGAGAGAAGCCATACCAATGCCAGGAGTGTGGGAAATATTTTGCTTCCAGTTCAGACTTGGTGAGCCACGAAAGACTCCATACAGGAGAGAAACCATATCAATGCCAGGAGTGTGGGAAATGCTTTGCTCGCAGCTCAAACTTGATGAGGCACAAAAGAGTCCACACAGGAGAGAAGCCATACCAGTGCCAGAAGTGTGAGAAATGGTATCCTTGGAAGTCATCACTTCTGAGACACCAGAGCAGCCACACAGGAGAGAAGCCATACCAATGCCAGGAGTGTGGGAAATGTTTTACTCAGAGTTCAACCCTTGTGAGTCACCAGAGAATTCATAGAGGAGAAAAACCATCGAAATAAGTGGGACAAATGTAATGAAGTGAATTGCAACAGAGAAATTGCACGTTGTGGATATTCTGGTGCTGTATTGAATGACTATTCATTCAACAATTCCCAATGAACACATGTGATTCTCTTGGCTTCAGGTAGCACTTGGCTTGACTTTAGACTGACTCTTAGACAACCCTCTCCTTGGTTTTGAACTCTTGTTCAGTTTTTTGGTTTGCTTTGTTTGACTTGGGACTGCTTTGGAGAACTCTTTTGCTTCTCTGGACACCAGTATCACTATGGGACTGGACTGGCTTTCCTCTGTTCAGCCTTCGTGGGTAAACATCTGATTTCAAACAGGACTGATTGAGAAGTTCTGTGCTAGATTTGGTACAGTCCACTTTCTTGTGCTTTGAATTCCTAAGTTGAGGCCCTCTTCTCTGGAGCAGCAGAAAGCAGTAAATGAAATGTCACTTATTTTTCAAAAAACAAAACAAAACCAGAAAACATGTACAGTGTTCCCTCACTTATTTATTTATCGTGTCAGCAACCATTGTATTACAATTCTAACAGAGCAAAACAAACACACAGATTAAAAAGAAAAAGGAAAAAAAAAACCACACAGATTTTGCAAATTTGGTATTTGGTTAAATGTCCTTTGACCAGTATCTGGCCACTTGGAGTTCCTCTGGGGTTGCCGCAAGAAGGTCCTCCATTGTGCATGTGGCAGGGCTCAGGGTGCATTGCAGCAGGTGGTCAGTGGTTTGCTCTTCTTCACACTCGCATGTCGTGGATTCCACCCTGTAGCCCCATTTCTGAAGGTTGGCTCTGCATCTCGTGGTGCCAGAGCGCAGTCTGTTCAGCGCCTTCCAAGTCGCCCAGTCTTCTGAGTGCCCAGGGGGGAGTCTCTCATTTGGTATCACCCATGAATAAGTTCCCTCACTTATTGCGGGGGTTACGTTCCAGGACCTCCCGCAATAAGTGAAAAACCGCAAAGTAGGGACGCTCTATTTATTTTAATATTTATACATTATTTTAGTAGGTATACACTATTTTAAGTCTTTATAAACTTAAAATAAAGTGAAAGAAAGGAAGGAAGGAAATGCCCTTCGAGGCTGGAGGGAGGAAGGCAGGGAGGATTGAGGAGGGAAAGCGCCTTGGAGAGCAACGGCCGTGGCAAAAACTCACAAAACAGTGAAAATACCATGATATATATTTTAAATTAATATTTTTTAAAATCCACGAAACAGCGAATCTGGTAAACGTGAACCGTGAAGTAGCGAGGGAACACTGTAATTCCATCAGTTGTTCCTCTGGGCTTAGTTTCCAGCTCCTTTGCCACCTTGGTTGCAAATTCCCAGTTTGTGAGTGTTGTCTTTCAGCTGGGATTCCAGAATTGAAGACAGTGCTTCTGTTGAGGCCAAGACAAAGGAAAAGATGCTTGCATGGTTATTTCCCTTGATGTACAAATCATATCTCTGTCTAGCATTTACTGTCTGTTTCCATGCTCCTGGCACACATTAAATTTAAAAACCACGAGTCTTGTTGTTATTTTCGAATTAACCATGTTATATATCTTTGATTTTGTTATAGACTAATAATTTGATCTATTTTGCAAAATTTAAGTCCCTTAATCTTATACATGAAGGAAATAATAGCTTTTAATTGAACTGCACAGAACCATAGAATCAAAGAGCTGGAAGTGACCCCCTGGGCCATCCAGTCCAACCCCATTCTGCCAAGAAGCAGGAATATTGCATTCAAATCACCCCTGACAGATGGCCATCCAGCCTCTGTTTAAAAGCTTTCAAAGAAGGAGCCTCCACCACACTCTGGGGCAGAGAGTTCCACTGCTGAATGGCTCTCACAGTCAGGAAGTTCTTCCTCGTGTTCAGAAGGAATCTCCTTTATTGTAGTTTGAAGCCATTGTTCCATTGCGTCCTAGTCTCCAAGGAAGCAGAAAACAAACTTGCTCCCTCCTCCCTGTGGCTTCCTCTCACATATTTATACATGGCTATCATATCTCCTCTCAGCCTTCTCTTCTTCGAGCTAAACATGCCCAGCTCCTTAAGCTCCTCCTCATGAGTCCACAGTGCTCTCTGGATGTAGGTGAACTACAACTCCCAAACTCAAGGTCAATGCCCACCAAACCCTTCCAGTATTTTCTGTTGGTCATGGGAGTCCTGTGTGCCAAGTTTGGTTCAGTTCCATCGTTGGTGGAGTTCAGAATGCTCTTTGATGGTAGGTGAACTACAAATCCCAGCAACTACAACTCCCAAATGACAAAATCATAATTTTTTTGAGTGATGGTCACGCCTTGTGTTGTGAGACGTTTTGTTGCCAAATTTGGTGTGATTTTGTTCATTGGTTCTTTTGTTTTTAAGGTACTCATTATGCACAGAGCATTTATATATATATAGATTGTGTCAAATAGTTAAATAAAAAAATATTTAAGAAAGAAAAAAAAGAGAAAAAAACCCTCAATTAATTAATTGATTAATTCCCGTTAAGATTCAGTGGGGTTGGGGAGCAAGGGTTTGACAGGGAGAGAAGATATCTGACTATCTTCTATGTTTCCTGAGAGATGCTCTTTCCCCCTCCTTCCAGTGGAACGTTGGCAAGGAAGGGTTAAGGGGAGTGAGTTTGGTTCCCAGAGAGGCAGGAAGGAAGTGGGCCTACTGATACGTTTCCTGTCCCTCTAGGAACCAAACTCCCTCCCCTTAACCCTTCCTTGCATGGCTGGGAGAGAAGAGTTCCTTCTTACTCTCCTCTTTTCCTCTTCTGGTGAGACTTCTTCCCATTCCTTCTCCAAAGGGCCGAAGAGGGGCTGAAGCCCAACACACCTGGAGGGAGGGCTGAAGTAGGCCCAGGCCTCATTCACTCCCAGGTTGGCCTTCTACACACTCACCGTGTCTGTGTGTGTAGGGGTACAATACAGAATCCAAGAGTTGGAAGAGACCTCATGGGCCATCCAGTCTGATCCCATTGTGCCAAGAAGCAGGAAAATTGCATTCAAAGCACCCCCGACAGATGGCCATCCAGCCACTGTTTTAAAGCTGGATGTGGTGTCCAGTTCTGGGCCCCACAATTCAAGAGAGATATTGGCCAGCTGGAATGTGTCCAGAGGAGGGCGACTAAAATGATCAAGGGTCTGGAGAACAAGCCCTATGAGGAGCGGCTTAAGGAGCTGGGCATGTTTAGCCTGAAGAAGAGAAGGCTGAGAGGGATATGATAGCCATGTATAAATATGTGAGAGGAAGCCACAGGGAGGAGGGAGCAAGCTTGTTTTCTGCTTCCTTGGAGACTAGGACACGTAACAATGGCTTCAAACTACAAGAGAGGAGATTCCATCTGAACATGAGGAAGAACTTCCTGACTGTGAGAGCCGTTCAGCAGTGGAACTCTCTGCCCCGGAGTGTGGTGGAGGCTCCTTCTTTGGAAGCTTTTAAACAGAGGCTGGATGGCCATCTGTCAGGGGTGATTTGAGTGCAATATTCCTGCTTCTTGGCAGGGGGTTGGACTGGATGGCCCATGAGGTCTCTTCCAACTCTTTGATTCTATGATTCTATAAAGAAGGAGCCTCTACCACACTTCGGGGCAGAGAGTTCCACTGCTGAACGGCTCTCACAGTCAGGAAGTCCTCTGCTCCCTGGATTGATAATAACCACCCTGTCACTATCTCAGTTATAGCGTTGGAAAAGATCTTTTGGGCCATACAGTCCAACCCCTTTCTGCCAAGAAGCAGGAAAATTGCATTCAAAGCAACCCCAACAAATGGCCATCCAGCCTCTGTTTAAAAGCTTCCAAAGAAGGAGCCTCCACCACGCTCGGGGGCAGAGAGTTCCACTGCTGAACAGCTCTCAAAGTCAGGAAGTTCTTCCTCATGTTCAGGTGGAATCTTCTTTCTTGTAGTTTGAAGCCATTGTTTACTTGTCCGAATGTATTATCCCCTACAAACCATCAAGGGTGTTAAGATCTTCTAGATAGGCCCTGCTCTTGGTCCTGCCACCTTTGCAGTCACGGCTGGTGGGGATGAGAGATAGGGCTTTCTCTGTGGTGGCGCCCCGGCTATGGAACTCTATCCAAAATGGAATTCGATCTGCCACCTCCCTCTTGACCTTTAGGAAACAGGTGAAATCTTGGCTGTGGAACGATGCATTTGCAGAATGATGGCGAACTGGTTTTATATGTATTTTATCTTATTGTATTTTTATGCATTGCTATGTATTATGTTTAAATGGTTTTATTGTTAGCATTGAATCCTTGCTGTGAACCGTTTTGAGTCCCCCGACAGAGGTTAAAGAAGAGCGGTATACAAAAGTTTTAAATAAATAATGAATAAATAAATTGTTCCGCGTCCTAGTCTCCAGGGCAGCAGAAAACAAGCTTGCTCCCTCCTCCCTCTCTCACATATTTATACATGGCTATCATGTCTCCTCTCAGCATTCTCTTCTCCAGGTTAAACATGCCCAGCTCTTTAAGCTGCTCCTCATAGGGCTTGTTCTCCAGATCCTTGATCATTTTAGTCGCCCTCCTCTGGACACATTCCAGCTTGTCAATATCTCTCTTCAATTGTGGTGCCCAGAATTGGACACAGTATTCCAGATGTGGTCTCACCAAGGCAGAATAGAGCATGGGTAGCATGACTTCCCTGGATCTAGACACTAGACTCCTATTGATCCCATTGGCTTTTTTTGCTGCCGCATCACATTGTTGGCTCATGTTTAACTTGTTGTCCACAAGGACCCCAAGATCTTTTTCACACGTCCTGCTCTCGAGCCACGCATCCCCCATTCTGTATCCTTGCATTTCATTTTTTCTGCCTAAGTGGAGTATCTTGCATTTGTCACTGTTGAACTTCATTTTGTGAGTTTTGGCCCATCATCTCTCTACTCTGTGAGGATCGTTTTGAATTCTACTCCTGTCTTCTAGAGTATTGGCTCTCCCTCCCAATTTGGTGTCGTCTGCAAACTTGATGACTTTTTCTAATAGTTGTTCATAATGTAGATATTTTCTTTTAGGTGTTCTCAGTTGTGGAAAGTCCTGTTGTGGTTTTGTCAATGCAAGTGTTTCGTTGTAACTGCTCTGAGTCGCCTAAGGGCTGAGAAGAGCGGTATACAAATGAAGTAAATAAATAAATAAATAAAACATTCTTTGGTATTTATTCCATACTCTCATCCATGGATTTCCTATTTCATGTTTCTTAAAATTGGAGTCCGATTGCATTTTATCATAAATCACTTGGGACTGAATGGGAGCTCAATGGGAGGTCAGGTGAGGCCAGGTGGGCCTGGAGGCTGGAAAAGCAGAGGCCCAAGTGGAAGGAGGGCCCAGCATTACCTGGCTCTGAAATAAATGCAGGGCTTGTTTTTTTTTTTTTTTTTTTTGCTCTCCAAGAAAATGTCTCCCAAACCCTGTTGTCAAATTCTGTGTTTTTTTTACAGAGGAAATGTGACCGTTGCCTGACAATTTTGAAGTAGAATCTGTTCAGTTGTGAGAAGAGGGAGGAAAAGCATCTGGTATACAGTTGCGTTCTTCGTTAGAGTGCCTCCAACATGGAGAGACCCAACTCTCCTGAACCTGAAGCAGGCAGTATCCCTGGGAGCAGTGGGGAATCCTGGGAAGGAACTACGCAGACGTTCCTGGATGCACACATACGGTGCCAGCGCTTCAGGCATTCCTCCTTCCGAGAGGGGGAAGGACCCAGAGAGGTTTGCAGCCGCCTCCACTCTCTCTGCCGCCAGTGGCTGAAGCCAGAGCAACACACCAAGGCGGAGATGCTGGACCTGGTGATCCTGGAGCAGTTCCTGAGCATCCTGCCCCCAGAGATAGGGAGCTGGGTCCGAGAGTGTGGGGCAGAGACCTCTTCCCTGGCGGTGGCCCTGGCGGAAGGCTTCCTCCTGAGTCGGGCAGAGGACGAGAAGCAGGAAAGACAGGTGAGAGCATTGCCTCTTGGGTTCCCTCACCTAGGGACTGATGGATAGCATAAACCTACATCCTGCCTTCCTTCCAAGATGGGACCGATGTGAGGGAGAAGCTGGACTCTGCTCCCTTGGCCTCTTTTCCCACCTGCTCTGCCCCGCCTGCTCTCACCTCCATATTCACTATAACCTGAGTTGCACCTTGTTGACCCCAGATATCACATTGAAAGTGGAATGTGGCCAATCTCAGAATGCAGTCTCTGCACATTTGGAAAAAAAACCCTTTTCTAATTTTTCTCCATACTACTTCAGAAATTCTTTGTGTTCTTTCAGGCCCAAAATAACTACATCAAGGTCCAGCCTGATCTCTCTGCATCAGAGAAATCTCCATCAGGCACCACCCAGAGCCTTCAGCAGAAAGAGTTCAAACAGGAAGGAGATGGGGCTGCAGCCTTGGAGGGTAAGAAGGAACCCTTCTGGGAGTTTTGGGGTTTTATGCCAGTGAAAATTCCCCTTCAGGGAATCCACAATCTGTTTGAGCGAAAGAAGGTGCATATGCGGGATTGTTTGGCCTTGAGATGAGGATATAGGTATGGAATGGATAAAAAGTGGTGAAGCCAATGTCAATATTGTAGAGATAGGAAAAGCTGAGCTCATGAATGAAGTTAAAGTTATAATGCAAATTGTGGTATGGGTGTGGGGTGAGGAATGAAAAGAGTGAACAGAACTAAGATATGTTATATAAATGAGTGTATAATAAAGAAGGGAGGAAGAGTGAGGAGGAGGAGGAAAAGAAGAGGAAGAAGAAAAGCAACAACAACAACAACTTTATTTTTCTACGCCACCTCCATCTCCCCGAAAGGACTCGGGGAGGCTTAAATGGGGCCAAGCCCAAAGCAAAACACAATTAAAAGCAAGCAATAACAAATTTAAACAGTATAAAACAGCATTACACAGTGTAACAATAATAACAAGCATCAAAAGAAACAGCAGATTAATTTTGGAGGGGCGGGGGAAGAGGACCACTATGCGGGCTGGTTAAAGGATAAGGTGGTTCAAATAGGTTGATAGCAATGTATAATAGCATAGGAAATAACATGTAAACAGAACAATTTAACAGGATTGATTCAACTTAAACTTAAGGATATATATAGTAATGTAATATTGGAATTCAAAATCAGGCCATAATTCAGGTCCTGATATAAGTCATTTATCATAGGAGTTGTCAATCGAAAGCACAACGAAACATCCGCATCTTTAATTCCTTACGGAATGTGAATAGGGAGGGTGCCAGCCTAGTCTCTCTGGGGAGGAAGTTCAATAGAAGAGGGGCCACTACCGAGAATGCCCTTTCTCTCGTCCCCACCAACTGCGCCTGAGACGGGCATGGGAGCAAGAGAAGAGTTTTCCCTGGAAGATCTTAAGGACTGTGTGGGTTCGTAGGGGACGATGCGGTCTCGAAGATATGCAGGCCCTGAACTGTTTAGAGTTTTATAGGTAATATCCCTGGACCTTGAATTGGGACTGGAAACTTATCGACAGCCAGTGGAGCTGTTCAAACGGGGGTTGACCGCTCCCTGTAACTTGCTCCAGTTAACAATCTGGCCGCCGACTTTGCAGTAGCTGTAGTTTTTGAACCATCTTCAAGGGCAGCCCAACGTAGAGTCCATTATAGTAGTCCATCTTCAGGTAACTAAGGCATGGACCAGCATGGTTAAGTCAGACTTTTCGAGGTACGGTCGCAGCTGGTGCACAAGTTTTAACTGTGCAAAGCCCCTCCCGGCCACCGCTGACACCTGAGCATCCGGTCCAGGACTCGAGAGGCTTCCTTGGATTTTGGTGGAAAGGAGTAATAGAGTTGTGCGTCATCTGCATAGAGATGACAACGAACTCCAAAACTCTGGATGATCTCGCCCAGCGGTTTCATGTAGATATTAAAAAGCATGGGGGGAAGAATAGAACCTATTCAGGTCAAAGGCCATGGGTCTGAGCAGGTATTCCCCAACTTCACCAACTGGGTGCAGCCCTCCAGAAAAGAATGGAGCCACTGCAATGCAATAATAATAATAATAATAATAATAATAATAATCCTTTATTTATACCCCGCTACCATCTCCCGAAGGAATTGGTGCGGCTTACAAGAGGCCGAGCCCAGATACATCAGTAAAAAAGTAACAACAGTAATACAGACAATAAATAAACTCATAAACAAAGCAATAAACAGTAACAATAACACCACGACGCATTAAAAACCTATGGCAGGGCCAAATGTAATAATTAAAATTTTAAAAATGCTGGGCATGACAAGGTGACATAACTAGGATAGGTATTTGGAGAGAGATGGAGCGAGCAGACAATCCTAGATCATTAGTAAAGTGCGTTTAGGGACATGTTGCTTAGGGTTTCCTTATTCTGGGAAGGCACACTGGAACAACCACGTTTTCAGGCTCCTCTTAAAGACCCATTCTGGAGAGCCGCCCCAGAAGGATACCATGATCAACGATATCGAAAGCCGCTGAAATGTCCAAGAGAACCAACAAGGACACATTCCCTCTGTCAAGTTCTCTACGGAGGTCATCCACCAAGGCGACCAAAGCCGTCTCCGTACCATGGCCAGGCCTGAAACCAGACTGCAATGAATCCACATGATCGGTTTTGTCCAAAAATCCTTGGAGCTGAGAGGCTACCACTCACTCCAGAACCTTGCTCAAAAATTGAAGATTTGAAATTGGCCGGTAGTTATTCAATGAGGAGTCAAGGGTTGCCTTCTTCAAGATTGGTCTTACTATTGCCTATTGTAGGCAAGATGGAATTTGTCCCTGACGCAGCGAAGTGTTTATAATCCTCGCAAACCTCGCAGCTGAGAAGCAACCACTCACTCCAGAACCTTGCTCAGAAAAGGGAGATTTGAAATTGGCCGGTAGTTGTTCAGAATTGATGAATCAAGAAACGACTTTTTAAAGAGCAGTCTCACGACTGCCTGTTTTAGGCATGGTGGAAATAGGAAGGCTTGTGGAAATGTCATAAATGAATGACATGTATGGAATAAATGTACAAAATCTAATTGCATAACACATAATCATCATCATCATCATCTTTTTTTAAAAAAGATGAGTAGATAGGTAGGCATTCGGTTGCAAAATGTGTAATTTCAGTGTGATTTGCAGTTTTCTTTCTTGCCACCCTTCTACATTTGCATTCTGTTGGGTGGGACTGAAAAACCAGCCCTTCAATATCTTCCCGGGGGGGATCCGAAGCTAAGATGAGCCTGAAACTAAGCTGGAAGACAAACAGACAACCAACAGTAACTTTAGTCAATTGCAATACCAAGCCCAGGACTTGCTTCAATCTAACCTCTTCACAGCACTGGTTGAGAGAAAAAGTCTTAAACTCCAAAATGTGACATATTCCTGGGCTGGAGAATGCTCCCATGTTCATAGGGTTGTTTCCTCATAGGTTTCTTTATAGACTGTAATTGTTTATGTGTTCAGCTTTCCACCCCTTGCTCTCTCTCTCTCTCTCTCTCTCCCAGGGGCTGGAATGAGGTTGTTGGCAAACCCACAGTCGTTTCTTTCCGTTTGTGATGGAGTGGAACTGAATCAGGTAAGCAGAAGGGTTCCTGGGAGAGGAGGAATGTAGATGCCTGGGGGTCATTTGTTCCAGGCTTAATCCTCAAACATCTCTTCAAACAGAAAAGATTGAATGGGAGATCCTTAAAAGTGAGATACTGAAGGCACAATTGCAAACAGTGCCAACAAGGAGGGGGGAAAATAGGAGAAATCTAAAGAAACCAGAATAAATGTCTAAAGAACTTCCAGCTGAGTTAAGACTTAAAAGGGATGTGTTCAAGAAATGGAAGGATGGGGGTGGGAATCCCCAAAGAAGGGTTCAAATGAACTAACCAGCATAAGGTGGGAAAAGGCCTGACAAGCTAAAGCAGAAAATGGGCTCAGACTTGCCAGAGAGAATAAAAACAATGAAAGGGGGGTTCCTTGGTTGTGTCAGTAAAAGAAGGAAAAAAGAGCAAACAGTAGGGTCTTCTCAACAGTCTCCCTTCCTGAGCTAGCCGGGGTGGTCTCGGGGTTGGCCTTGGAGTCTCAACAGCTAATAGTGCTGGGAGATTTCAACATCCATGCTGAGACTACCCAGTCAATAGTGGCTCGGGGCTTCATGGCCTCCATGACAACCATGGGCCTGTGCCAGGTGGTGTCTTGCCCTATCTTTACTGCTGGACACACTTTGGACCTTGTTTTCTGTGCAGGATGGGATGGTGAGGATGGGATGGTGGTGATGGTGGTGTGGAGGAACTGGCCACCATTCCGTTGTCATGGACCAATCACTACCTGGTCAGGTTTAGACTTGCTGGGACTCCAAACCTCTGCAGGGGTGGGAGACCGATTAAGACGGTCCATCCCATTATGGATCTGGATGGGTTCCTGATGGCTCTTGGAGACTTTCCTGTCACCTTGGCAGGCAATTTTGTTGAAGCCCTGGCTGACCTCTGGAATGGGGAACTGGCCGGGGTGGTGGACTCAATCGCTCCTGAACGTCCCCTCTCATGGAGCAGAGCCAAAGCAGCCCCTTGGTTTTGCAAGGTATTGGTGGAAATGAAGCAAGTGAGACGGAGACTAGAGCAACGTTGGCAGAGAATTCAAAAACAGATTTGACAAAGCTAGCAATGTGATGCAGCAGCTGAGAAGCCTTAAAAGGAATGTAGTATCTATGTTAAGAAGAAGAAGAAGAAGAAGAAGAAGAAGAAGAAGAAGAAGAAGAAGAAGAAGAAGAAGAAGAAGAAGAAGAAGAAGAACTTAATTTTTCTACCCTGCCTCCATCTCCCCAGGGGACTTACATGGGGCCAAACCAGGCAACATAAGGATTAAAAGCAAAAACAACAACAAATTACACATTGAAAAAGCACAAACAGCATAACAGTAATAAACAAGTATCAAGCAACAGTAAACCAATTTTGGAGTGGGGAAGGAGGCCAACATACGAATTGATTAAAGGGTAAATAGTTCAATAAGGTGGATAGGAACATATAATGGCACAGGAGATATCATGGAATCAGAGCAATTAAACAGAATCAGGATCAACTCAGTTTAACTTACATATATCAATAATGATGAATAATGATGTAAGAGAAGTCACGGTGAGCTTCTTTCTGCTTTGGTGAGGCCTCACCTGGAATATCACTGAGTCCAGTTCTGGGCAACACAATGAAAGCTGGAACATGTCCAGACTCCATTTCTGATTCTACATATCAATGAAGAAATCGTTCTTAATTGTGATCAACCAGATGTCTGTACAAAGCTTTCAACGGCGGCATAGAGGCCTTAGCCCTTTCCCTTTCAAACAACCAACAGGAATGTAAATCAGCTTGCAAAGCATTTCTTGTAATTCTTTTTCTTGATTTCCCTTATGTGAGAAGGATTTGTTTTCTTTTCCCACCAGGGCCCAATCACCTTTGAGGACGTGGCTGTCCATTTCTCCCCGGAGGAGTGGGTTCTCCTGAGCCCTGATCAGAAAGTCTTGCACGTGCAAGTAATGGAGGAGGTTCGTGGGATTGTGGACTCTCTTGGTAAGGCTCCCTCACTGGTGGGGATTTCTATTTCAAAGGTGCAGCATTCCTGGTGAGAGCAGAATCCTAAATCATCCCAGTCTCCGAGAGTTCTCAAGGCGGCGCGTATGTTAGAAATAGATGACATCAGAGCAATATTGACTTGGTGCCTGAGCCACAGCACTCTTAGCACTAATTCAGATTCCATTGGGAATGTTGTCAAGCATTTTAGAATGGCTGTGGATAGTGAGATCCAAGCCACTATGGGTTTAGCCTGGTGAGAAAAAGAAGCCAATATTCCAGAATAAATCTCACCAAGTTGAAGCAGAAGTCACCGAGGTATTTATTTCCGTTCCAGCTGGAAAATGATGATGGCTGCATTAATTTGCTGAAGAAACCGCCATGTTTTTTGGGTAGAAAAATATAGAATATATAGTATTCCATTCAAATTTCCCTGTGCCACCCCTTGAGTTGGTTTCGCTGTGATTGTCTGAGACATCAGTGGGCCAGGAGGGGCGGCTGGGGGAGGAGGTGCCTCCTCCAATCAGAGCGCAAGCCCCGCTTCGGCTGCTCAGCCAATGAAAGGGAGGTGGGCAGAAGAGAAAACAATTAATGTGTAAAGAATAGAATTATGAATGGCCTTTTCTGCACACATATGATAGGTGATCAAGGCAGATAGCTTGATCCCTCCAGTCTTGATCCTGACTATTGTCCTGAGTTTCTGAATCAACATCTTTGTCTGGCCCCGAAGAGCCCGTTCCATTGTCACAAAGTCCTGCAATATTGATTTGTTGATAAGATCTGGGATTTCTCTCTTGGGATGGGGGAATTCACTTACTTACTTAGGCAATCCCTCTTGGATCGAGTCAGATTGTCTTCCAGGTTCGTTGTACTGGCGGTGGTTATGTAGGTGTACTGTGGAGCCATATTCTTGACTTGCATGTTCTCCTGCAGTGAGGGCATTGATTTCCACGTGGGGGGCGGTTCCGGACGGGGTTGGCTTGACGTACCTTCCTCTTGGCATGTTTCTCTCTTTTCCCCTCCATTCATGCCTCTTCAAAGTCTACAGCACTGCTGGTCACAGCTGACCTCCAGCTGGAGCGCTCAAGGGCCAGGGCTTCCCAATTCTCTGTGTCTATGCCACAGTTTTTAAGGTTGGCTTTGAGCCCATCTTTAAATCTCTTTTGTTGTCCTCCAACATTCCATTTTCCGTTCTTGACTTCGGAATAGAGCAATTGCTTTGGAAGATGGTGGTCGGGCATTAGGACAATGTGGCCGGTCCAGCGGAGCTGATGGCGGAGGACCATCGCTTCAGTGCTGGTGGTCTTTGCTTCTTCCAGCACGCTGACATTTGTCCACCTATCTTTCTAAGAGATTTGTAGGATTTTGCGGAGGTCATACTGATGGAATCATTCTAGGAGTTGCATGTGACGTCTGTAGACAGTCCACGTTTCACAGGCATATAGCAGGGTTGAGAGGACAATAGCTTTATAAACAAACACCTTGGTCTCCCTACGGTTGTCCCGCTCCTCAAACACTCTCTGCTTCATTTGGAAAAATGCGACACTTGCAGAGCTCAGGCGGTGTTGTATTTCAGTGTCAATGTTTGATTTTTGTGGAGAAGACTGCCAAGGTAGCGGAAATGATCTATTTTCTAATGTTGCATCATTAAGCAGTATTTCTGGCATTGGAGAGGGATTGGCTGGTGACTGCTGGAAGAGCACTTCGGTTTACTTGATGTTCAATGACAGGCCAAGCTTCCCGTATACTTCTGCAAAGGTGTGTAGAGTGGCTTGTAGATCTTCTTCTGAATATGCACAGATGACGTTGTCATCAGCATATTGGAGTTCTATAACATGTTGTTGTAACCTTGGATTTGGCTTTTGTTCTGCTGAGGTTAAATAGCTTGCCATCTGTCCGATAGATGATAGGGGAATGGCACAGTGGGGGAGAAGCGGCGACAGTCACCTTTTCCTCTCAGTTCGGGAAGTGTCCTTTGTGTCAAGTATCTCAGAAATAAGTACAAAGTTATAAAATATTATTTAGTTGGCATTTCCCCTTTTGTTAGCCTCAGAGAAGAGGCTTTGGGATCCCATTGTTTGAGAGTCCTTCTACAGATTGGCCAAAATTTAACTCTTATTATATCATTCCAGACTGGTGTCCTAGGCAAAACTATGAATTCCTTGATTATAAACTATCCGTATTGTGGGGGAGGGGGATTATGTTTGACACCAGGAAGATTTCCATAACTGGAGTCAAGTCCAAGTGTACTCCTTGGCAGTAACGGGGCTCCCTGGAAAACCTCTCAAGAGTGATCACTCCAGATCAGTCACACTATCTCTATCTCTGTATCTCCATGAGTGTGTGAGAGAGAGAGATTGGCAGGGGAGTGAGTTGGAAAGCAGATTTCCAATAAGTAACCCAGCAAACCTCTCCTGACTTCAGGCACACATTTCCAGCCCCTGGTTTTGCATCCTGTGTGCCTTGGACGGCTTGGAAAGCCACTACATACCTGAAGCCAAAAGGAGTCTGGAAAATGATGGGAAAAAGTGGCTTTGCAAAAGCCGACTTGCTCTTGATGTCTGCTGACATGCTTCTTCCCAGTAACTCCAGCTCCCTGGAAATCTATTAAGAGCTATCGCCCAGATTGATTGGCGGGAGAGTGGGGCCGGGGAATGGAGCATCAAGAAGAACACAGACACGGCTATATATCTTCTTATCGGGATCATATTCAGTCTTGTTTTCCTCCCAGCCAGGCAGTCTAGCCTCTGCATGCCCGAAGGCCAGGCTCTCTTTTTGTATGCTGCCTCTCCCAGCACGCAAACTGTCCCTAGCCTCAGTCATTTCAAGATGGTGACCTGCAACATAATGTGTTCTATGTTCTGTGCTTGTGAATGATTAGGGCTCTGGACGGTTTTGTTTACAGTCACATGGGGAGAGAGAACTGGAGGTTGGGGGAGAGAAAGCAAAAGAAAGGAATGATTGTGAAATGGGTGGTAGCAAGGTAAAGGTTTAGCTAGAGAAAGGAATTGAATGTGAAGGGAAAAGGGAGAAGGAGACTGAATTAAAAAAAAAGCATACCTGACTGAGCAACAGGTATACTCTGGAACACATGTTACTTACTCACCTTTAGAGGCTCCAGGCAGTCAAACAGTGTCAATCCTTACTGCACAAGTGGTGGGGAGAGGACACAATTTATATCTTAGACTCCTTATCACTCACACTGAGGAATGATTGTTTCTGTCCTTCTTCTTCACAGCAGATAACTGGAAGAAGAACAATGTATACACCAAACGCAGTAAGAACTTTTGGCACAATGAGGACCTTTCTACACACCAGCAAACCCACAGTGAAGATGGAGGTTCTGCTAGAGAAAGGCCCTACAAATGCAAAGTATATGGAGAGAAGCAATACCAATGCCAGGAGTGTAGGAAATGTTTTGCTCAGAGTTCATCCTTGGTGAGGCACAAAACACTCCACACAAGAGAGAATCCATACCAATGCCAGCAGTGTGGGATATGTTTTGCTGACAGTTCAGCCTTGGTGAGCCACAAAAGAGCCCACACAGGAGAGAAGCGATACCAATGTCAGAAGTGTGGGAAATGTTTTGCTGACAGTTCAGCCTTGGTGAGGCACAAAAGACTCCACACTGGAGAGAAGCCATACCAATGCCAGGAGTGTGGGAAATGTTTTACTCAGAGTTCAGGCTTGGTGAGCCACAATAGACTCCACACAGGAGAGAAGCCATTCCAATGCCAGGAGTGTGGGAAATGTTTTACTCAGAGTTCAACCTTGTTGAACCACAAAAGACTCCACACAGGAGAGAAGCCTTACCAATGCCAGGAGTGTGGCAAATGTTTTCCTCGGAGTTCAGCCTTGGTGAACCACAAAAGACTCCACACAGGAGAGAAACCATACAAATGCCAGGAGTGTGGGAAATGTTTTTCTTACAGTTCAGCTTTGGTGAGCCACATAACACTCCACACAGGAGAGAAGCGATACCAATGCCAGGAGTGTGGGAAATGTTTTGCTCACAGTTCAGACTTGGTGAGGCACAAAAGACTCCACACAGGAGAGAAGCCATACCAATGCCAGCAGTGTGGGGCATGTTTTTCTGACAGTTCAGCCTTGGTGAAACACAAAAGAGTCCATACAGGAGAGAAGCCATACCAATGCCAGGAGTGTGGGAAGTTTTTCGCTGACAGTTCACACTTGGTGAACCACAAAAGAATCCACACAGGAGAGAAGCCATACCAATGTCAGCAGTGTGGGACATGTTTTGCTGAAAGTTCAGCCTTGATGAAGCATAAAAGAGTCCATACAGGAGATAAGCCATACAAATGCTATGAATGTGGGAAATGTTTCGCTAACAGTTCACCCTTTATGTACCACAAAAGAATCCACACAGGAGAGAAACCATACAAATGCTATGAATGTGGAAAATGTTTTGCTTCCAGTTCAGACTTGGTGAAGCACAAAAGAGTCCACACAGGAGAGAAACCATACAAATGCCATGAATGTGAGAAATGTTTTGCTGACAGTTCAGCCTTGGTGAAACACAAAAAAGTCCACACAGGAGAGAAGCCATAACAATGGCAGCAGTGTGGGAAATGTTTTGCTCACAATTCATACTTTGTGAGTCACAAAAGAGTCCACACAGGAGAGAAGCCATACAGATGCAATGAATGTGGGAAATGTTTTGCTTCCAGTTCAGCCTTTCTGATGCACAAAAGACTCCACACAGGAGAGATGCCATAGCAATGCCAGGAGTGTGGGAAATGTTGTACTCAGAGTTCATATCTGGCAAGTCACCAGAGAATTCATAGAGGAGAAAAACCATCCAAACAGCTGAGACAAAAGTAAAAAGAAAAAAGAAAAAAAGAATAGCAACAGGGAAATTGCATATTTGGACATTCTGGCCCTATAGACTATACATTCACCATTTTCCAATGAACCTGTGTGATTTCCCTTGGCTTCACCTAGCACTTGGCTTGACTTTGGACTGATTTCTTAGACAATTCCCTTCTTGATTTCAAAGTCTGTTCAGGTTTTTTTGCTTTGTTTGACTTGTGACTGTTGTGGAGAATTCGTTTGCTTCTCTTGGTAAACATCTGATTTCAAACAGGACCATTTGAGAAGTTCTGCCTAAGATTTGGTAAAGTCCACTTCCTTGTCCTTTGAATTCCTAAGTTGAGGTCCTCTTCTCTAGAGCAGCAGAAAGCAAGCTCTTTGTGACAATCCTTCGGAGGGTTAAATACGATTGTCATGTCACTTATTTTAAAAATGAACCAGATGTAACTCCATCGGTTGTTCCTCTGGGCTTAGTTTCCACCTCCTTTACCAACTTGGTTGCTAATTTCCAGTTTGTGAGTGTTGTCTTTCATCTGGGATTCCAGAATTGAACACATTGCTTCTGTTGAGGCCCAGCCAAAGGAAAAGATGCTTGCACAGTTATTTCCCTTGATGTGCAAATCGTATCTCCGGCTGGCATTTACTGTCTGTTTTCCCTGCTTCTGACACACACACTTTTAATTCACATTACATTGAAAAACACAAGTCTTGTTGTTATTTTAGAATTATCAATGTTATATATCATTGATTTTGTTATAAACAATGCGAATTTGATCTATTTTGCAATATCTAAGTCCCTGGATTTTATATTAAGGGAATAATAGCTTTCAATTGAACTGCACAGAAGCCTAGGATATATAGCGCTTTCTAGTGTCGTTCTCCATATGGGAAGTTTCAGATAGTTTTGACCTATTTTAAATGAGGGTTTTAATGTCCTACAAAGTAGGACTTGTGTTCCAGTTTGGGCTGTTTATAATGGTTTTGTTTTATATTGTGTTTTGTAATGCTGCTGTGAACCGCCTTGAATCTGTTGGAGAATGGCGATATAGAAGCTTTCCAAATAAATAAATAAGTTTGTCTGTAGAATAAGAAAAACAACAGCATTGGAATAATTAATACAAGCTTCCCAACTAGTCACTTCCAAGTGCTTGGGGAAATTGAATTACCAGTAAAAAGATTACTGTATTTATGCACATCTACGGCACACCTTTTTTGGGCTAAATGACTCCAGAATTGCAGATAGTTCTTCTTCTGCTGAGGCCAAGCCACCACTGAAGGCCTTCTCGGTGGTGGCCCCCCGCCTGTGGAATTTACTCCCCGGGGAAATAAGGTTATCTTCATCCCTCCTCTCCTTCAGAAAGACGTTAAAAACGTAGATGTGGGACCTTTGGCTAACTGTGCTGACATTGACAAGGACAATTGCTTTGGTAATGGACTACGGACAAGCTTTTTCTTTTCATAAATTTTATTTTTGTAACTTCCAAATATCACCCTAAAGAAAGAGCAAATAGAATGTAATTGAGTCCTTTCCCCTGCCAGCACTCCAGACTACATGACCCAAGCAAACACCGCTCAATAAATATATATTACTCTATACTGCACAGAATTATTTCACCCCCTCTTGAATATCAATAATAATAAAAAGCTTTCCACGGGAGGTAAAGTGGAGTTCAAATCTCAGCATTCCCAAAGAACCACCAGAAACTCTTTGGATATGAATAGATATATATTTTGAGTTTTGTAAAGGTCACAAAATTGAAATAAGGAACCCAAAGCAGTCCATTGCTGCAAGGACTATTCAACACTCGTTCCTGATGCTTCAGATAGACCCAGTTTCATCCAAAAACAGAGGGGTATCTATTTAGACCAGTGTTTCTCAACCTGGGGGTCGGGACCCCGGTGGGGGGTGTCGAGAGGGGATTTCAGAGGGGTCGCCAAAGACCATCAGAAAACATAGATTCCTAATGGTCTTAGGAACCCCTTTAGCAGAGAAGGCTGAAGATCTCTCCACCTGTCCTTCTCTTCCTTTTTGGAAACAGATGGCGAATCCTTCCATCAAAAGCCTTCCTCTGCTGTGATTGGCTGGCCTGTCAGCCGAGGGGAGGGCTGTTCATGGGCCTCCAAATGGGGAGGGGAGAGCAGGCATGCACATATGCAGTTGAAGGGGAGCGTGCAAGGCTGGAGGGAGGCTTGCTCCATTGACTCCCTTCAAGACATGGGGGTTCTGTGTCAGAAGTTTGGCCCAATTCTACCTTTGGTGGAGTTCGGAATGCTCTTGGATTGTAGGTGTACTATAAATCCCAGCAATTACAACTCCCAAATGTCTAGGTCTATTTTCCCCAAAATCCACCAGGGTTCACATTTCGCCATATTGAGTTTTCGTGCCAAGTTTGGTCCAGATCTATCATTGCTTGAGTCCACAGTGCTCTCTGGAGGTATGCCCTTCCACAAACATCAGTATCATCTTCCGTTCATGTTCCCAGCATATTCCCAGCAGAACTTCCTGACTGTGAGAGCCGTTCAGCAGTGGAACTCTCTGCCCCAGAGTGTGGTGGAGGCTCCTTCTTTGGAAGCTTTTAAACAGAGGCTGGATGGCCATCTGTCAGGGGTGATTTGAATGCAGTATTCCTGCTTCTTCGCAGGGGGTTGGACTGGATGGCCCATGAGGTTTCTTCCAACTCTTGGATTCTATGATTCTATGACCGCATCTCTGTATACGACCCCACATGATCCCTTCGGTCATCCGGGGAGGCCCTGCTCTCGATCCCACCAGCATCGCAGGTGCGGTTGATGGGGACGAGAGAGAGGGCCTTTTCGGTGGTGGTCCCTCGACTCTGGAACGCACTCCCTAAAGACATCAGACAGGATCCAACTTTGGCAGTCTTCAGGAGGAGTTTGAAGACGTGGCTGTTCCAGTGTGCCTTCCCAGAATAATAATCCCATTGCACTTTGTCCTCCAAAGCACTTTACCTTTTTCGAAGTCTGCTCGTATGCCCTTCCACAAACACCAGTATCATCTTCCGTTCATGTTCCCAGCATATTTCCCATTTTAACTCTACATTTGGCCTTCCCACTGTTTTTAATTGTGTGTTTTTTTTACTGATAGTGTTGTTTATCTTATTGTCTATGTTTTTAAATTGCTTGTATTGTTGTTTTATTGCTGTATTGTTGTGTTTGGGCTCGGCCTCATGTAAGCCGCACCGAGTCCCTTGGGGAGATGGTAGCGGGGTACAAATAAAGTTAATAAATAAATAAGTAAAAGGTGAACTACAGCTCCAGATCTCAAGGTCAATGCCCACCAAACCCTTCCAATATTCTCCGTTGGTCATGGGAGTTCTGTGTGCCAAGTTTGGTTCAGTTCCATCGTTGGTGGAGTTGAGAAACACTGATTTAGACAATTAAGACGCCCCACCCACAGCCAGGGGAGCTGTCGCTTTCATCCTTCATCTGCGACACTGATGAAGTACTTCCGCATTCCCCGCTTTGCTGGAGTCTTTTTCATGGCCTCATAAATGAGTTAATTTAGCCTCCCCACACTTTAAGGTGGTACCTAATTTTCCTACTTGACAGATGCAACTGTCTTTCGGGTTGCAAAGGTCGACAACAGGCCACACAATTGGTTGGAAACCCACTCCAACCCGGGCTGGCTTCGGACTCATGACCTTTGGTCAGAGTGATCTTGATGCCGCTGACACTCCACCAGCTGCGCCACAATCCCGGTGTGAGTCCCACTGGCTTGCTTCTTCTGGATGTAGGGGACCCCCTGCTTGGGGTCCTTGCTGAGTCCGTCACAGAGGGCAGCAAAATGAAGAGGGTCTAGTCTCCAGAGGTAAAGCAAAAATCTCTATTTCAAGTGTGGCCACACAGGGAGAGACAGCCAAGACAGACCAGTGTCTTCAAAAAGGCTGTCTCTGACATTTGGATCTTTCAGTCACCTTATATACATGTCTTTTCGCTGTGTCATGGGCACACACCTCTCTTATCGGATCAACCATTCAAAAACATGTTTTTCTCATATTTTGCCACTTCAGTGTCTCTAACTGATAACCTTCTACAAACTACGTAAACACACACATTATTGTTACAGATAAGCATTTTGGGTGTTAACCCACCCTGGGTACTCCCTGGGCGTACTTGGCAATAGAGCATCTTGTGTCTTCTAGATACATTATCTCCTCTTAGCTTCTGGTCTTCTGCAGGCCAGAGGAGAGGCACAAGCCTCTCTTTAGGTTTGCATTTCAGCACTTAAACACTTCTAAGTTCTGTTAACCCTTTCACTCCTCCCTTTTCTTTTTGCGAAAGCTGATCATACAGAAGCTGAAGCAAGATCAATATCTAGTTATAACATTTTTATGATACCCCGGCATTCTTGTAATCACCACCAATTGCCGCGAAGTGGGAACCGCACTTGTGGTGAACTTATAACACATCTTCATGATGATGGGAAAACACATTACCATTATAAAAAATACAATAATCAACATGACAATACCCAAGAACAATCCTTTTAGCCATCCAAATTCTGGTAACCATTAGGTTAGTCAATTCCCCCTTCTTCTATGGCCCATGCTTCTTCTTCTTTTGTGTAGGTAGCCGTAGCAGGAAGCATTGATTCTATATACAAAGTACACACTGTTGTAATCTTTCGGCGAGCTGCTTCCTTGGCTGTCTCATCAGCCAATCTGTTCCCTCTAGCCACAGGGTCTTCTCCATACTGATGTCCTTTGCAGTGCATATAAGGCATATTTAGAATCAGTTTGGACATTGTCAGTTCTTCCTTCAGACAGGTTCAAAGCCCTGGTCAAAGCTATGAGTTCAGTTTTTTTTGTTTTTTTGTTTTTTTTGTTTTGACACTATTCATGTAACATTTATTGAATTACAATCATCACAGAATCATATCAGAATCACATCAAGGAGAGCTCTCGTGCACACACATTCATTCATTCATACTCTCGTGCACACACAGGCCTCCTCCGGCGAAGATGATCAGTCTTTTCCGAGGAAGCGTGGACGCTCCATTGCTGCAGTTCAGGAAGCGTGGAGATTGTCAGGGGTCCCCTGCATTTATAGGCCAAAATCCATTTTTCTTCATTTCAACAGTCAGGTTGCTCTGTCCTCTTACTAAAGGACAATATGTCTTTGTTCTCTCCAAAGTTCAAGACATTCGCATTCCAGGCCTCATGACTTATGGGGTACCTCCTGCACGTATCCTGCACTCCTTACATGCTCGGCCGCACACCTCATTGTCCATTGTTGTTCAGTTATGCCTTACTGTCTCCTCGCTTCGACTGCCAAGTTTGTCCCATTATCATGCCTTGCGAGAACTCCATGTTGGTTTTTCTTCAGGCCTGTTTCTTCTCTTTTACATGCATTCAAACATTCATTCCTCACATATTCCTCCCCTTGATACATAAATGCTAATTTATTGTATCACATACATGATCCATACATG